GTCGGTGAGGTGCTCAAAGTTGAAGAGCATGTTGCGTCCGAAGGCGGCGGTTCAAGTAAGAGTTCACCAAGCTCCTCGCCAGCTGCGCCCAAGCTGATCACATGCAAGAACCCGACCGCCAGCCTCGCCATCGAGCGCATTCGCCTCGTCGTCGGCGACAAGATGCGCGCGTCGGGCATCGAGTCGGTTGAGGACTTTTGCTCTGCAGTCGGCTTCGCCACTCGGGCCTCGTTCCAGAGCACCAAGACGTTCACGCTCAGCGCCGCCACGTTCGGACGCAACATGCTCTTCAACTTTGAGCACCTCACCGACTGGGCCGCCGCACACAAGCGCAGCATCCAGCGCATCGCCGCTACAATGAACACGAGAACCAAGGCCGCATTGACCATGGCTTTGCGGCTCCAAGGCGATGTTCAACCTCTCGCACAACATGCAGAGCAAGACGTTGCCGGCCACTGCCGGGCCCTTTGGGATTGTCCAAGCACACCAAGTCGAGTGCATTTTCTCTTTGTCGTTCTTTGTTGGACACTTGAGCATCCCAGCCGTGACATAATTGGTTTCGCAGTCTGGAGTACGAGTGCGACATTCTACTCACACTCGATTCGGATATGCTGCGGCTCCAACTGCCTCTTCTGGAGGTCCTCTCCTAGTACAATATGACTCCACCTTTGCTCGTCAGGAGGCAAATTCAACAAATCGTTGGCGGGCTCTTCAACGCTTCGGTCTCTACAAGCGCCACCAGGAGCATTCTCACATGCAGCAAAACGTATCTCGTGTCCTTAAGCTTTTCCCTGTCGATACGAGCCCAAAGTTGCATCTTGGACTAGTACATTCGTCTCCACTGCTGAGCCACGCGCCAATGTCAGTTGTGTACACAGACGTATATTTTCTCAAAACGCAACTACTCGTCTTCACCTTCCCAGACCTAGGCATCGAAGAGCGTCTTAGCACACGCCTTGGGTCTGGACGCCCGACTTGCGGTGCTCGAGGGTGTGGCCGAGCGCAAAGACGAACGCGTCAATGCTGATCTTGACCTCGCCCTCGTCGTCGGACGTCGCGGCCTGCTTGGCGACCTCGACCAGCTGCGAGTGGGCCTCGAGAAACTCGATCGCTTTCACAATGTCCTTGACGAGCATGTCGGCCATCGACTTGGTAAAGTTCTGCTTGACGACGACGCGCATGATGACGAGCGACTCGGCGCCCTTCGAGCACGTGTACGCGGGCACGATCCAGCCGCGCGACCGGAGCTTGTCCTGGATGTCAAAGCACGAGAACGGCTTCTTGCCCTCTTCTTCGTTGAGGCAGAACGCCACGAGCGGCATGTGCGCCTTGTCGACGATGGCAAAGTGCCCGGTCGCCACGAGGCGCTCGCGGAGGTACTCGGCGTTGTGCATGGTCCGGAGCAAAATCTCGCGGTACCCGTCGCGCCCGAGACGCACAATGTTGTAGTACTGCGCAATGACGTTGCTCGCGCCCTTTGAAAAGTTGAGCGTAAACGACGCTTGGTCGCCGCCGAGGTAGTTGACGTGGAAGACCAAGTCGTCCGGGAGGTCCTCGGGCTCGCGCCACAGCGCCCAGCCCATACCGGCGTACACGAGGCCAAACTTGTGCCCGCTGACGTTGATCGACTTGACGAGCGGCAGGCGAAAGTCCCAGACGAGCTCGGGGTGCAAGAAGGGCGCAATGAACCCGCCGGACGCCGCGTCGACGTGGATACCGAGCTCCCAGCCGTGGAGCTCGTTGAGCTGCTCGGCCATCGTGTGGATGGCCTGGACGTTCTCGAATTCGCCGTTGAACGTGCTCCCGAGGATCGCGCAGATACCAATCGTGTTTTCGTCAATGAGCCCGCGCGCGCGCTCGGCCGTCAAGACGAGCTCGTCCGGCGAGACGTCGGCTTCGCGCGGCTCGATCTCAAAGTACTTGCACATCTTGTGCCAGCACACTTGGACGTTGGAGCCAAAGACCATGTTGGGCTTGTCGGCGGGGAGGCCCGCGGCGAGGCGGCGGTCGCGCCACTTGCGCTTCATCGCGAGACCCGCGAGCATGATGGCCTCGGAGGAGCCGACGCAGCCCGTGCCCGTGGGCACACCAGGCGCGTTGAAGAGATTGGAGAGAATGGCCACGCACCGGTTGTGGATCTCGGCCGTCTGCGGGTACTGGTCCATGTCAATGTAATTCTTCTTGAGCCCCGCGAGCATGAGCTGCTCGGCCTCGGGCTCCATGTACGTCGTCACAAACGACGCCAACTACCAGCGTGCATGAGCCTCGATCGATCCATAGGTGGACGTACGTTCATGCTCGGGTTGCCGTCGAGCGCAAGCTCGTCGAAGATGAGCTGGTACGCCACGTTGGCCGGCATGGCCTCTTCGGGAAAGGTGTCGGTGGGGCAGTCGCGGGCGCAGGCCGGGTGCGCGTACACGGGGCAGTCGGCTTCGTTGTGGTCTTGGATCATGCTCGAATGAGGTGAATTAGGTTGTGTGTCCCGTGCGATCTTGGTTCTTGGTCGGCCGGACGCGTGTTTCTGTGTTGGCGTGACGAGCTTGGTGACGCGTTTTAAACACACTGCGCGCACCCAACTTTACGTCGCGCTGACACCGGGCGCCGCGTCACCCGACCCCACGGAATTATTGCCTGGCCCGACCCCGAACGACGGGCAATCCACACTGCGACACGTCATCGCCAAGGCAAGAAGGACCGATACGCTTGACGATCCGAACCAAAGCTCTCGGTAAAAGTGCCGACCCGGTTTGAAGTAGGCGGTTCGATGCCATCGCCACGGAAGCGTCCCTGGATCTACGCAGGCTGCAACGTCATGGCTCCATCGAGTAGCTGGGATAACGCAGAGTGCTTGCGCCATCGCGCAGCAAGAACCGTGAGCGGCCAAAGACACGGGTATCAGTCGTAAGGGGCGTGTTGGTATCCTTGCCCTGTGTTTAAAACACCGCCGACGTTGAAGATCTTGTCGCAGGCAGCAGCCAATCACGGAATGCGAATCTTCGTCTGGTCTTTGCCAGCGTTGGATGGGCATGTCGCTTGCGCCCGCCAAGCTCCTTGGCTCTGCTTCCCACCCTGGTTCATATCGATGACTGCATTAGGTGCTTGTCGCTTCCTTAACGAAGGAACCCTGCGCATCCCCGGCGCTACCCAAGTGGCAATCTCTGCAGGATACTTTCGGCGGCTTCGGCTGCCAATGGCTTGCTCGTGACCGCTCGCTGATGCAAAGGCTGCGCGACGCACGACGACGTGGGCCGGACAGACTTGGGTGCCGCCAAGCAAAGGGCGTCGTCGCCACTTTGGATGACGAGGAAGGGTCTCGCCGTCGATGCCTCTGCCCTGCATGGAGTAGCCGGGAGGTCGAAGTACGCGTCAAAGGCAGGCACGGTCGCGGGCGAAGCAGTGGTGGTTGCTTGGAGCAGGCACTGCATGCGCACCCCGTCCAATGTCTGCAGCGTCCCGAACGGCAAGTTGACGAGCGATGGGGCGTCTGATGGCAGCGCCGACGGCGGCACATAGTACGCAGGCTTCCAACTTGGGTAGGGAAGCCGCTCTATGGCGTCCGTGGACGTTTTCTTTACTAGGTGCAGTGGGATCGATGCATGTACCGGGACGCAGCGTGAGCTGGAGAAAGGAAGGGGCTGGGTTTCGTGGAAGCTACTCGCAATGAGATGCGAATCTCGTGGCAGTCGCACCGTTTCTAGCAGCAGCGCGCACTGCTTGAGTATCGGCGCGAGTGGCGAAGCCGACATGCCTACGAAGGCCATGACCGTACAAGCGGCGTTGGCGACAACCCACCACTCGCGGTGTAGGTAAAACGGAGCACAAGCCGCCGCAGGCTGCCTCTCGCGGCGTCGTACATCGTGAACGTCAGCGCATCCAGGCACTGCCGCTCGAGGCATTCCGAGACGCCAAACTCGATGAGCTATGCGCAGCTTCGTCATGCACAGTGTCTTCAAGCGGCGAGGTACGTTGTGCAATCGATGCGCCGCCGGCGAATCTGGACCCGCGCCATGGAGTACTCGCATGGCGTAGCCATCTTGGCGATCGTGAGAGCTTCCACTTCGGAGCCCCAGCGCATACCTGAATGGCGCTCTTCAAAGCACGCAGCAGGGAATGACGTGGCGTCTTGATGGGCGATGACACAGCTCAGGACAGCGCGGACGCCGGCAAGCGCCTCGGTCATCGTCGCAGGATATTGTGCCGGATACGGGAACATCCGGATGACACATTCGGATGCGGTACAAATAGTGTGTGCAGACGTTGATTCCACATTCCAGAATGTGATTGGCATCGGAGAAGTTCTAGAACGCGCCGCGTACCAGAAGGATGACGGTGGAAACCACAGCCAAGCACATCTCTGGCGTGCCGAGGGTTGTGACGAGGAGCAGCGATAGAATCGTCCGAGCAGATTGGTGGACGCTGTCTCGAGGCTGCCAGCTGCCCGTGACACGTTCCAATGCAGTGGGCTAGAATTGCGGTGGGCGCTTGCGGTGCTAGATCGTCACTGCGCATTCGAGCCAGCGTTTTGGCTCCAACGGCCATTGTTCGTGCTCAACTAGCGCCAAGGCCGTGTACCTGCGAGCTGTGTACCCTGCGCGGCGCTTGTCCCGCTTGCGCCACCTCGCACATCGCATGGGATCGCCGACCAGCGTCGTGCCTGGGCGTAAATCATCTCGCCAGCGGTCGCCTTCCGCCTGCAATGTTGCTCATTGGCCGTGCGCGGCCTGCTGGCAGTGCTGAACGAGGATGGGTGGCTCATCTCGATCCGCACCCTCTGACGCGCAACTTGGCACAGACTGCGGCAATTCAGTTCAAGACTGCCGATTGTCAGTGTCGCATCTTCGATCGCCTTGCATAATCCGCTGGATGTTTGGCTCGCTCATACATGTCCTACATTCGTATCGCTGCGAATACGTGTGTCGCGTTCTTATAGCTTATTCGCTTTGGCGAGTCGTGGTCGCGACGAGGAGCCTTCTTTTGCATGGCGCCACTCTGCTTGGAGCGATAGATATGTGGTGTCGAACGGGCGTAACGCTGGCTCCTCGCCGGCGGCGTCGCAGCCAAAAGTGGGAAGATGGCGGCTTCGCTGTGTCGACGAGCGCAATTTCCCGCATTACTCACTGTCGTTTCTCACGTGGTTTAAAAATACACTGCGATCAGCCTTCGCGCAGGTCTATTCGCTGCGCGCGAAAAAAAATACACCTCGTGCGGTCCCTGACGCAAGTCAAATAGGCAACAATGGATTTGGATCGTATTGAGGTGGAGGTGGGTTAGTTTCCCAAAAGCATTACCAATATGCACTGAACCGTTACACTGCGCGGTTGTATGCTCTATAGTCGAGCAAAGGCGAAGGAGGGGAGACTAACGCCGCGCAACACGCTCCGAAACTAATGCCTGGACGACTGCGATTGGCGCAGGACTTTAAGCCAATCAGCGGCGTCGGCCCTGTCGTCATTGGTGAATACATTTGTAGAGATATATTTTCTTTCTTGGGGAAACAGCCCGGAGACGGCCACGGGCGAGGAAGAGGCTGATCATGTCACGCTATGGTGGAGCCAACTACGACGACGACGACGACGACATGCTGCTCAAGGCGCTGCAGGCCAGCGAGCCGTGCGGCAACTGCGGCGCGCCGGGCGCGACGATCCCGTGCTCGAGCGGCTGCGGAGAAGTGTACTATTGCTCCCGGGTACGTGGCAGCGGCGATGGACGCTTGGCCTCATGGCACGTAGGAGTGCATGACATACCATGCTTCCTCACATCGCCTGCGGTGCAGAAACCTGCGCTGCTCCAAGTTTAACGACGACGAATGTACGTACCCTGCGCGCGGTGGGCCACAAGACTCATTTACACTGTAGCGGACGGCAGCTCCAGTGACGAGTCGTACTACGACTCCTCAGACGAGTCGAGCGAAGAAGACGAACCGCCGCAGCCTGCGCGTGGTGGTGGCAAAAATGGCAAGACGCTCAGCAAACAACAATCGAGCAGCAGCAGTGCCGGCGGCGGTGGCGGCGGCGGTGGCAAGAAGGGCGGCAGCGACAAGCGCCTTCGAGTCGACTCGGACATTGAGCGCCGCATCGAAGAAAAGATCATGCGTCGACTGAAGAAGCAAGAGGAGAACCGCATTGCCCAAGCCATCGAGTCGCAGATGGTGCTCTCGAACGCCTCGTGGACCGACGCCGACATGAACCGGATCGCGATGGAGGTCAAGATTCGACTCCAGAAGGAAATGGGCCATCTCTTCACGGGCAGCTCCAGCAGCCGGTCCCGAAAAAACAGCATCTCGCAAGGATCGCTCAGTCGAAGCCTCTCGGCCGTCGTCGAAGAAGACCCCGGGAAGCGGGCACCGCCAGCCCCCATGGCGCGCCAAGAGAGCAGTGGCTCATCGCGAGACAAGGGGTCCTCGTCGCGGTCGTCGCCAGACAAGCCTATGCGATCACAGCGCAGCATCGACGTCGACCCGGTACAGCCGACGACCGCGGTCGTCCCCGTCGCTGCTGCCGACCCTGCGACGCCGCCAACGTGGAACAACAAGTGCGCTGCGTTTCTCTCGCTCAAGATTGTGGTCTGGAAGCTTGACTTTCGTCCGCAAATGCGCTTCTGCGCCGGCCCAGACGGCACATGGAACCAGCTGGCCGAGGTCGACGCCGACGAGTCATTTTCGCACATCATCCTTGGCGACGTGCTTTTGTCGGTGAACGGCCAGCTCCTCACGGGCGTCGCCATGTCGGAGGCCGAGATGGAAGAGATTTTGTCCGAGAACGGCAACCCGCTCATCATGAAGTTTGGCAGCGCCGACCCGGACAACCGAGCGATCCGCGAGTACACGGTGCGCTGGGGCAACGGGCCCTTGGGGCTGACGCTCAAGGACGACGGGTCGCCCGAGGCACTGCCGATTGTCCATCGCCTCACCAAGAAGCCCGGCTCGGTCGCGGTCAAGGAAAACATTGCGATCGGCGACGTGCTCTGCGCCATCAACAACATCGACACAGTCTCGCTCGGGTGCGCGCTCACCATGTCGGTGCTCAAGAAGGTCCAGCTGCCCGCAAAGCTCACGTTCCGCGGTGTCGGCGGTGTCCCCACGCGGCCCAAGGGCGACGCGCCGCCCGCCAAGGCCAAGCAACCCGAAGTGCCCGTGAGCTCGCGCGGCCTGGCGCCTGGCACGACGTACCAAGTCGACTGGCGCGAAGGCCCGCTCGGCCTCACGATCATTCCGGGCCTCCAGCCCGGCGACCTGCCCGTCATCAAGCGGGTCACGGGCAAGGGCACGTCGCCGGGCGTCGAGTACGCGCAGGTGGGCGACTACCTCACGAGCGTCCAGGGCAAGTCGACGACAGTCCTGACGTTCGAAGACATTGTGGACCTCCTCAAGACGCTGCCCAAGCCCATCTTTATGCAGTTCACATCGGCCCAAGGCACGGCCAACGGCTCGATGCTGCTGCCATTGCCGGTGCCGGCGCCCGACGTCGTCGTCGAGCGCAAGCCCAAGTCCAAGCCGGCCCCGGAGCCGGTCAAGAAGCCCAAAGCCGAGGTCGAAGTGGACATTGATGTGCCGCAACCGGCGGACGCGGGGACGTACACGATCGTGTGGGGCCCGGACGGCCCGCTCGGCTTGACGATCGATGCAATTCCGCACGAAACCGGCGCGTACATCAAGCGCACCAACGGCACCGGCGCCGCGGGGCACCTCACGGACGACTGCATTGGCGACGAGATGACGCATATCAACACGATCGACGTGCGCCAGATGGAGTACACGCGCATTGTCGCGTACCTCAAGAAGGTGCCGCGGCCCGTGACGCTGCACTTTAAGGCCGACAACATCCACCGGTCGAGCTCGTCGAGCAACAGCGGCGGTGTCAACACGCTCCGCGCGGCGCCGAGCGCGTCGATGCCCGTGCAAACGACGACGAGTGCGCCGACACCGAGCATGCAGCCGCCAGCCTCGCTTCCGCGCGGTGCGTCGGGCTCGTCGTCGAGCCGTCAGTACTACGACCTCAACTGGGCCGAGGGCTCGCTCGGCCTCTCGCTCCACGGCGCGGACGACAAGAGCGAGTACCCGTACATTACGCGTGTCACGGGCGTCGGCTGCGCCGCGCACCTCCCGCCGAGCGTCGCGGGCGACCAGCTGCGCGCGATCAACGGCCACAGCTGCCACACGAGCAAGTGCACGTTCAATGACATTATGGACCAGCTCAAGACGCTCCCCAAGCCGATTGTGTTGCGCTTCCAGACGCAAAAGACGTCGTCGCCGCCGCCACAGGAAGCGTCGCGGTCGTACCAGCAAGCGCCGCCGCAGTACGAATCACAGCGGTCGTACCAGCAACCGCAGTCGTACCAGCAACCGCCGCAACAGTCGTACCAGCAACCGCCGCAGCAGTCGTACCAGCAGGCGCCGGTCCAGCACGACGCGCCGCGGCCGCAGCCGACCAACGAGAAGCTGCTCGTGCGCCAGCCGTCGGCGCTCCAGTCGTACGGCGAGTCGAGCCACGACGACGCCGGTGGCAACCAGCTGCACACGCCGTTCCTCCAGGCCCCCAAGCTCTCGTCGGGCCGCCGGCAGAAGATTGTCAAGCAGTTGAAGAAGTAGGGTACATAGACACAACGACGACCACGGGCACCTCGTGGAAGGATATCTAATGTTAATGAAGAGCTTGTTACAGCGGTGTGATCGTCGTGCTCTGTCGGCGCCCGGTGCTCGAGCTCTCGGTGCCCTTGTCTTGGAGCGTCTCTTCCTTGGCAAGGCCCTTGATCGGCGCATACGCAACGTCGTTAAGGCGAAAGCGGGCATGCCGGGCAAAGCAGAGTATCTGCAGCACCAAGACGCCGTCGACGAGCGTCTGGGTCGCGCCGCAGAGCACAAACTGCAGCGGACTGGACGTGTGGAGGGCGTACATGGTCTTGAAGACGTCGCCAAATGCCCACCCCACGACCATCGTGTAGCTATTCCACAGCTCTCAAGTCTTACTACTCGATACGAGCCGGAACGAAGTACCTGACGCCGTCTGTGGACCGGCGCTTGTGGTTTTTGTGGACTTGGGGGAGGCCGAGACACGCCTCGGTGCCGAGTGCGACGATGCCGACGAGCTGCGTGTACTCGTCGCTGCTCGGGAAGAGCGACACAAACAGGACGTACGCCAGACACGTCAAGAGACTGAGCGCACCGAGGTAGTCGGAAAAGTAGCTCCATTTCCAAAACGCATGGCGGCTCCAGTCTAGTATAACATGAGTCGACAGAACGAGTGGTTTTCACGTACGGACGAGACGAAGCGGCGGGTCCGTCGTGGGTCGTCGGCCTTTGCGGACGACGAGCTCGAGCATGAGGAGCTGCGCGGCCATCATAACGACGCTCTGCACGAGGAGCGTCGCTTCAAACGGCGACCGCACGTAAAAGCAGACGCGCGTCATGTTGGCGGCCAGTAAGATCAAGCACACCATCGACGAAAAGCCCGAGGTGTCGCTGTACCGAGCCATGTAGATGTACTGGGGCACATACGGGAGGACGCCGCCGCCGACGATGCCGATGTCCGCGACGGTCTCCATGGCGGTGGTATTCGCCTTCGAATTCATGTTTTGAGACTGGCAAGATCGTTTTGGACGCCGATGATTGGCTCAATTTTGATGTGCGTTGACGGGTGTAACGGCAACGGCAAAGTCGGTAGAAGAGACAACACAGACGCTGACATTACGACTACTAGATTATGTGCAGGTTGTCGAGGTACGTCTGGTATGCGAGCTGCTGCATCGGTGGTGGGTAGCTCGGCGCGTACGAGTGCATCGAATACGTCATCACCTCGGCGTGCAAGGGCGGCGCCGCGATGTGCGTATGGTGGTGGTGACGGGGTAGCTGCTGCGGTCGCGGCTGGGGATACGAGGGGGCTTGTGTGTGGTGGTGGTGCGGATTGTACATGGCTGCATGGTGGTGAGAGTACGGCTCGACGTCGTGAGTAGAGAGCAGGGTGTGCTGCTGCTGCTGTTGTGGAGGCAAGTGCGGGCGCTGCGACTTGGAAATGTGCTTGGTGGGTACTTTGATGTGGCGCGCCGGCACCGGCGACGGAGCCACTCCCGGGACGTGGTCCGGACAGAAGCCACCCCCGAGCACCCACTTGCGGCACTCGGTGTTGCCACACTTCTTGCCACCGCCGTGGGCTTTGCAGTGGCCGCCGCCTCGGTCGACGCCCTTGCAGCCGTCCGTGTGGCATTTGGTGCCGCCACCGTGGCGAATGCAATGCCCGGCCGTTTTCACAGCGTTCTCACAGCCCTCGATGGTGCACTTGCGCTTGCCGCCGTGGCCCTTGCAGAGCTGGAGGTACTGCGCCGTCTTCGTGCATCCGTCCACCGTGCAGAGGCGACTGCCGCCGTGTTCGCGACAGAGTTTTTTCGATTGTTGTGCCTTGTTGCAGCCTTCGCGCATGCACTGGCGCTTCCCGCCGTGCTCCTTGCAAAAGCCATTTCCGAGGTCGATCTTTGGACACTTGTTGTATTGGCAGAGAAACCGGAGCGGCTCGGGCGTCGGCGCGGGGGGTGGCGGCGGCTCGTACTTGTGTGTCGGGCACAAGCCGCCATGCGGCGCCCACGCATTGCACTCTTCTCTCGAGCAGCGCTTCCCACCGCCGTGGGCTTTGCAATAGCCGCCACCGCGCTCGACCTTGTCGCAGCCGGCCATCGCGCACTTCGTGCCGCCGCCGTGCGAGACGCAGAAGCCGCGGCCGACGTCCTTGTTGGTACATCCTGGATGTGTACAGGTACGGCTCCCGCCGTGCGCCTTGCAGCAGCCGCGGAAAACACGTTTGTTGGGACAGCCCGGTTCCTTGCAGAGCTTCTTGCCACCGTGCTTGGAGCAGAAGCCTTGCGCTTGCGCGCTGGCTTCGCAGCCGTCGAACTTGCACACGCGGCCGCCTCCGTGCCCGATGCAGAGACCGCCGCCTTGGCTGAAGCGCGGGCAGTCGACGATGCGGCACTTGGTCGACACCATTCTATCGCTCTCGCCACGTTTCTGCGTCGAGTTGCTTGCTGGCCGCGGTCCCCTTCCCAAAATACTACGCTGGCGACCGCGCGGCCCGGTTTTAGTGTGAAGCAACCAATAGTGTGACTCACGCCGCATGTCGCACACGTCCACTCTGCGAACATCCCGTGCTTCAATGCAATCGCCCTTGTGTCGAGCGCAGTCCGCGCACCACGACAGGTACCTCGCCGCTGGCAAAGCCCGTTCAAACCTATGTGCACGGTGCTACCTCGGTATCTGTTGCCTTTCTTGCCGACAATCAGATCTATATGGTTATCTCAACCTCGGAAGAGCTTCAATAAATGCAGCAAGCCACAACTATCACCGGCGCCGACGCCAGAGGTGGCGCAGGCGCCAGAGGTGGCGCAGGCTCCAAGTGGCCATTGCGCAGCCGAACGAACGCGCCGAGCTCGGCGACTGCGCGACGCACGCGATCCTCGCGATAGCAGATGTCCATATTTAGTGTCCACATGACACTATTCGCTTCGTATCCGTATACGGCGCGAGAGATCGCATTATCCGGATGATCAACTGATTGGTGCCAAGTTTCAAGTTGCCGCCATGTCGACCGACGCCAAGCGCCCGCGCGACGACGAGGCCGCGGCCAAGAAGATGAACAAGCGCATGCGTCGCATGGTACATCTGCCTCGTGACATGGGTAGGACGATGGCCCCATGCGTAGAGCCCGGAAGAACTCGAGCTCATGGGCTACCGCAAGCGCATGGAAGCGTGCATGCAGTCGGCCAACGTGGTCGAAGCGCTCGCTATCTTTCGCGAGATGCAAGAGAAGGACGTCAAGATGCAGGCGTACATCTACCAGATGCTTCTGACCCTTTGCGGGCAAGCTGAGGCCAACATCCTCGACGACGCGTTCGCGGTCCTCAACCACATGAAGGAACGGCTCGGCGCGACCTCCAAGAAGCACCCAGTGGACGAGCCCTGCTACAGCGCGCTCGTGCGTCTCTGCGCCAAGCACCACGCGACGGACCGCGCCGAAGCGCTGCTCGCCGAGGTCGAAGCCGCGCACGTGCTCACGAAGCTCCGGACGTTCTCGCCGCTGCTCCTCGAGTACGCGTCGACCAAGCGCCTTACTGACGCATGGCGCATCTACGAGACGATCAAGTCCAAGGCATTGGACGTGACTGAAATCGAGTTTACCGCGCTCCTCCGCGCGGCGCATGTCGAGTCGAACGCTGCCATGTTTTACAAGATCTTGGCCATCTTCATGGACGAGATCCTCGAGCCGTCCAACGAAACGCAGGTGGTCCTCGAGTCCTTCTTTACGAGGTAGTGCCACACGCTACTGTTCCTACCTCGTACCATCGACGACGATGTAGCAACGGGTACACGTGTGCGACGGGCACGGTTGACCCGAACGGCGTGTGCTCGATCACAGGCGCCCAATTGCAGTCGATTGAGCTCAGCGACGAGAAGCAAGCGGCGCTCATGGCCAAGGTCGAAGGCCTCGTGTGCACCAACGACGAGCGCACCGAGCAGTGGGCTGCGTTCAAGGAGTGGCTTGACGCAAACGGGCCGTTCGATGTGCTTTTGGACGCGGCCAACATTGGTTACTTTAGCCAAAACTTTGAAGGGTACTTACCCGGTTCAAAAGTCCTAACCTCACTATGAATGAACGTCAGGGGCGGCTTCAAGTACACGCAGATCCAGCGCGTGCTGCAGGCGTACCAAGCGCTCGGCAAGAAGGTGCTCATTGTGCTCCACAAGCGACGGACCAAAGACCGCGAGGTCCCCGAAGCGCTGCGGGCCATGGTCCAGAGCTGGAAGGACGACGGTGTCATGTTCAACTGCCGCCCGGGCAACAACGACGACTGGTACTGGCTCTACGCGGCCGTCAAGCTCGGCGGCCGCACGCTCGTGGTTTCGAACGACGAGATGCGCGACCATCACTTTTCGATGATTGCCAACGTCGACTTTCAGCGCTGGAAGGAGCGCCACTTGGTGCACTACGAAAAGGTCAACGGGAAATTCTCGTTTGACGAACCCAGCGTCTACTCGAAGCGGTCGCAGCAGCTGACGCACTCGTGGCATTTTCCATCACCCAACAAGGACACTTGGCTCGTCGCGCACAAACCGGCTCAGTAAATCAACAAACGAGAGCTGCGTTGTATTCCTAGCAGGTTGAGCGACCGATGGCTCTGCTTGACGCTTGACGCGTGGTGTTTGCTGTGTTCGCAGTCGCGGGCGATGGTTGCGCAGCTTGCACTCGTTGGCATCGGCCTTGGCTTGCCGACGTACGGCGGAGATGATCACTACCGTGGGCTCCACTCTGAGTTCTCACTAGCACTCCGGTGGACAAACACTCGTAGCCCAGAACAACATCTGCCTTTGACCAGCGATCATCAGAAGCTTCATCAGATCGCCACCAATGGATGGAAACGCATCAGACTGATCCAAATGTACACCACGGAGGACGGCCACCATTGTCGTTCAGCAGCCACGACGACACGAAATGCTCAACAACTCAAGCGAAGGGTTTGACGAGGCTTGCGTCAACCCGAGAATGCCACGGTTTACTTGCGGCACACAGGAGGCTGTGACGCTCTTTCTTCCCAAGCTACATTGCAGGCTCCATTGTGCTGGCAGCTACGATGTGGTTTGGCTCCGGCTCAACGCTTAGTGTTGTTGACCTTCTCTTTGAACTTCACCTGTCATCGCACAAGCTTGTCCGGCAGCGCTCGTTGCCGAGTCGGCGACACATGTGGACATGCTGCGTTGAAAGCTCGTGTTGGCTATCGCTGTCGTATTGACTAGTCCGAATATTTAACAAACGTATCTCACCAATATTTACCACGGGAGAGGGGGAAGCTCACGGGAGCCACCGACGGACACCGCGCGCTACCCTCCAAGCTCTGGAGGTATCGCTGCTAGCGGACTGTGAAATAAACTCAAATTGCAGATTTCCGTGTGCGAGCAATCAAGCGTCGTAACGCTGCTTGTCGTGTGGAGACGAGCAGGGTTCGAGCTGAGCGGCACTGTACACTCTGTGTGCGTCATCGAGAGGGGTCATGCGTCCTGTGCAATGAAGGAGGAGGAAGGCAACGCCATGTGGATGCGCCGAAGACATCGCCCGCGACCGCCTCTCACCATCGTGTACTGTGGCCTCCCTCATATATGCAACACGTTCGATTGGCGACGAGATGTGCGAGGACATGCTGCACGTGCCCTTGGACCGGAGACTGTTTTGCAAAAGAAAACAGACACTTGACGAGAATCCTTGCCCACGTCTTTTGAAGTGGACTCTACCTCGCAGTCTCCAATAATGATTTACGTACGACGCGACAGTAGCTACTCCAACGCCGACCGTGTTGGCTCATATTATGAGCACCCACTAAAAATTATAGCAAATAGATATACTAGAGAAGCTTTGCCTGTCGCATCGTCGTAGCCAGGACCGGTATTCTAGTGTTCTCTTGTACCCCTGCTTGCATCGAACGCTCCGTGGCCAAGGAAGCTCGGGTTGTTGCCAGCACGATCAGATGCGATGGTCGCACCCGTCGGTTCGTTTGATTGGCAATGTAAACGAGGAGCCAATCAAAACGCGCACGACCAGCACCGTTGTGCAATGTCAACCGGATATATCTCAAGCGCGCATGAGGCCAGCCGCGGCGATTACAGCCACACCCGTATACACCAGGCTCGCCACGCAGTCGGATGCAGTGGAGAGAGAGCGCCAACTACGTTGGCCGGTACCAAGCCCTCTATGACGCTGGTGTCGTCGACCCGGCGCCGCTCGCGCTGCCACCACCGCCCAGTGTGCTCCAGCGGCTCTCGCCGCTCAGGCTGCGTTGGGCGTCGTTGCCATCACTTCTGCAGCGCGCGCTTATCTGGGACGCCGGATTTGTCCTTGGCTTTGCTGATGGCGCGGACGCGTATGTACAGGTCTACACCAACTGCACGAGCGACCGCAGCGGTGTCCCCATGGGCGACATTGCTGTCAACTTTGCAACCTTCCTCAACGGCCATATGCCGCTCAACAACCGCACCGAGTGTCAAAGCGCAAGCAATACGACCGTGCTTCGATCGCAAAACTGCGACGGAAAGCTCTCGGACGCCATGGCCAAGTGCGCCATCGACCTCAACGGCTTTCCGGACGGCCACTCGAGCCAGTTGGCGCAGGACGACCTACCTCTTAATGACATTCCCGAGCCGCGCGTCTTTCAGCACGAAGACGTAAACGCTGGCTGGACAAAGCCAGCGATCCACACACAGCCGCACGGCCGGTACCCCGAGGCGCCGTGGGGCACGTGTCCGCTGCCGGGTCGCAGCGCCCTCACGATCCCGTGCGAAGTGCGCAACCAGCGCGCCGACTCGACGAATCGGTGTCTACCTGCACCCAGCGCGGTCATGGACGACTGGCTCACAGCATACAAGGCGTCGCTGCCACAGCCCACGTCGGAGACTACCAATGCCAACAACCATGCGTCACCCAGCAACCCGACCGTCCAGCTCGTCGGCATTGCGATCGGCGGCGTCTTTGGGCTCGTCTTTCTCCTGTACCTCATTCGGTGCCTCTTCCAACGCCGCGCCGCCCGGTCGTCCAAAGACTCTGCCGCGTCACCGCACGTCTGGGGCCCACGCTCGACGCAGCTCCTCACGAGCAGCCATGCGATCGAAGCGTCGCCCGTCGCTGCGCCCTCTTCGTCGTCCTCGGCGCAGTTCCAGCACGATCCGCGGCTTCTCGCCAAGCGTCTCTCGTACAAGGATGTTGTCTGCGACCGCGTGCTCTCTCGGTCCGCGACGGCCGAAGTGTGTGTCGGGCGCCTCGGCACCGAGACGGTCGCGATCAAGAAGACCTTGTCGCCCGAATCATTGGATGTATTTACAGAAGAGATCCGCGTCATGGCGCGGCTGCAGCACCACAACATTGTGCGCTTCCACGGCTTTGCATGGGACAACCAGCACCTCTCGTCGCTCGTCGCGGTGACCGAGTACTTGGCGCAAGGCGACCTCCCGGCGTTCCTCCAGCGTCACCGCGCCGCACCGTGGAGCACCAAGCTCTTGCTGGCGCTCGACATTGCTCGCGGACTTGCCTACCTCCACGAAGAGGCCAACGTGCTGCATCGCGGCCTCAAGCCCAAGAACGTGCTTGTCATAGACTCGATGCACTGCAAGCTCTCGGTCACCGGCCTCCGCCGAGATGTCCCTCGAGACGATGCGTTTTACACGGCGCCCGAAGTGCTCTATGGCGAGCCAGTCACGCGCGAAGCCGACTTGTACGCTTTCGGGTGCATTCTCGTCGAGCTCGATCGGCACGAACCGGTCTTCAGCGACCTCCACGTCGCGCCACTCGTTGTGCTCAACAAGATTCTGAGCGAGGGCCTCCGACCCGCCGTGTCGCCGTCGTGCCCGGAAGCCGTGCGTCTCTTGGCGTCCGAGTGCTTGGCGCGGGACCCGCGGGCGCGGCCCATGGCCCTCAACCTCTACCGCGAACTCGAGTGGATGCGCCAAAACGAAGAGTGGGAGATGCTCTCGGGCCGCGCACTACGCGAATTTACCATCTAGTTGTCAAAAAGTCCATGTCTTCATGTCTCATATTACTGCCTTTGTCTTCGTGTCCTCGCGGTGGTAGCACGAGCGTTTAGACCCTAGCCCTAGTTGGCACGGCATTCGACCGATCTTTCTATACATGGAAGCGCGATGATGTGGCCTAAAAATACAGCAAATCGAAACATGCTGTGGCGACAGTGGCTGACGTCCGCCGTGAGCGCCCTCTGCCTGCGTGCGTCGTACTCGGCTTCTCTTGATGGGGCTCATCGGTGTGTAGCTTGGGCCGCCGCCTCGGAGAAATGGACGCAGCTGACGCCGACGACGTTGGCCGAGCCACGTGCGCGGGATGTCATGGCGTTCCAAGTTGTCGACGACGAAGCGATCGTGTTTGGTGGCGCCGGCAACGGCAACTACCTCGCCTTTGACGACACGTGGAAGGTACCATGAACAGGTGCATACATATGCAATGTATGCATGTCTGGTGTCGTAGTTTGATTTGGTGCACAGCAAATGGTCGCAGTGCACGCCCCAAATTCGACCCGGCGCGCGCTATAGCCCCGTCGCCGTACTACGTCTATGATATTTTACTGCGTCCACGCGGGCCGTAGGCAACCAAAGGCCGCAGCGTTTACGTGTTTGGTGGGATGGTCGCCGACCCGAGCAGTCGTACCGGCTTTCGCTCGGCCAACGACCTCTGGCGCTTGGACGTGCCAACGTGCGAATGGGCTCCCATCGCCACTGCCGGCAGCGCGCCAGCCGCTCGGAGCGCAGCCGCCGGCGTCTCGCTACCGACTGCGATGGTTGTTTTTGGAGGTCTCACGATCTCAGGGGGCTCGGCCGTCGACTGGAATGACGTGTGGTCCCTCAACTTTGAGACGCTGCAATGGTCGTCAATCGCGGTGGATCGCAATCTCCTGGTGCCCTCGACGCGCTTCTCGCACAGCATGACAACGATCACCGGTAGCGGCAGGAGTGTCCTTTGTGTCGCGTGATGGCTGCGCTAGTCGGCGGCTTGGTGACGCTCGTGGTGTTTTCGGGTCGTCATTTGAGTGGTGCGACGTGGACGCTGTTAAGCGACGTGTGGCTACTACCGCTGACGACGGTAGCAATCCTTGTTTGGGCCAGTTTGGCGCAAAAATTACGTTGCCTTGTAGAACGCTGAGCGCGCGTGGACCGTGGTGCCGACCGTGCGGCCGACCATGGGCCGCATCTTCACGGACGCCGTGACCATCCAAGGCGCCGTGTGGCTCTACGGTGGCTTCAGTCTTCTTTCGGACCGCAGCCAAGACGCGGTCGCGTACGACGACACGCTGGTCGGGATGCTCGACACCCTTCCCAAGGTCCTTTCGTTCGGCAGCGACTCGTCGTCGCAAATGGTACGACCGCTCTTCCTTTGATGTCTACAGCGTCATCATGTAGATGGTCAACGAGCCGTCCGCGCGCTACGACCACCGCTCCGCCGTGTGGCGCGACCAGTTCCTCGTGTACGGCGGACGCTTCCAGTTTTGCCTCGGCGACCTCTGGCTGCGCAACACCTCGTCACCGCCCGTGTATTCGGCGGCCTCTACCGATACGTCCACCGACTATCTTTTCTTCGTCCAAGGCGGCGTCATTCTGGTCAGCGCCATGACCACTCTCGTCATTTTAGCCAAGTTAATTTACCTCAAGTGCTTTCGCCACCCCGTTCGAACGACCAATCGTTTCTCGATATGCACAAGATATGAGATAGGCCGGCCGCGTAGCGCCTTCCTCGGCCCCCGCGCCGCGTCACGGCATCACGACCGCCCAAATGGCGGCTTTCCAGCGCATCAAGGTAGTCGCTATCGCAACGGCTCGATCTTGACACTGTATGTCTCAAAAGAACGGCCGCGTAGCGCCTTCCTCGGCCCCCGCGCCGCGTCACGGCATCTCAACGGCCCAAATGGCGGCTTTCCAGCGCATCAAGGTAGTCGCTATCGCAACGGCTCGATCTAGACACTGTATGTCTAGTTTGCGGTGGCAGCGACCAATGCAACCGAAGAGCTCTGCCCCATCTGCTTGGTGCAAAGGACGTTGCGTCATTTGTGGCTTGACAAGAATTCAACAGGTGGACTTTGAGGACGGCGAGACGTTGGTGCTTCTCAACTGCGCGCACCAGTTCCATGGCGAGTGCATCGCGTCGTGGCTAGCGCAAAACCAGGTGCGCGATCGGCTCGACCTTGGCAAAAACAGCAATGTCGTAGACGTGCCCGATGTGCAAGCGGGATGTCCTCGCGCCGTGCTCACCTACAAGTGCAACGCCCTCAGGCCGGCCGAGCGTCGTCGCCCCCACGCTGGAGGACAACGCCCTTATCGCCACCGATCTCTAACAAACGACGCTTTTTGCTTGGACTGGATGGAGTGCACAGCGAGTGACCGTTCTTTGATGTTGGCGGGAGACTAGGTATAATTCAACTACCCTGCGACTACTCTTGCTGCCAACAATGACGCCGCCGAGCACAGTGTATGCGTTCTGCATTGCGTTGAGAACGACAGTGAGCGCGAAGGCAAAGGAAACTTCGGTTGACGCACCGGCATATTCGGAGATGGCCGACGAGCTAATATTAGTCTCAGTTGCCATCTTGACTCGATGCGACTTGGTCGCCACATGACGACGTCAGGTCTACCTTCCAGCGCCCTTGTGCGAGGTCTCTCACGGCGTGTTGCAGCTTCCGAGGTGTGGTCGTTGCTCGCTGCCCCATCGTTTTCCCCAACGTACCCACCGCCGCGCGACTCGAGTACGCTACAGGTGCTTGGCGACACGGCGATCATTTACGGTGGCACGAGCGCCCAGCGCATCTTCAACGACACCTGGCTCGTATGCATCTCGGTCTTTCCTCGCTCACAATCGTGCATTCTAGTTTGACTTGGTCGCGGAGAGCTGGACACAAGTCCCAGCGCACCAGACGAACCCGGGCGCGCGCTTCGACCACGTCTCTGTGCGTTCCTAAGCACGTTATTGTTTGCACGTGCAAGCGTCCAGTAGGTGGCCCACGCATCTGCGCAAGAGCTCGTCGTCTTTGGCGGTACGCTCTACGCGCCAGGCACGAGCGCGGACGGCTACGTGCAGATGAACGACGTCTGGGTCTTCTCGCTCCAGCATCGGGTATGGACACCCGTTGTCTACAGCAGCCAAGCAGCGCTGCCCAAGACGCGAAGCGAGGCCACGGCGGTCGTGACGGGCGACGGTAGCGCGATGGTCGTCTCTGGCGGCGTTACGGTCCCCGACAACGCGTCCCTCTACTCGTATCCGATCGACTTCAACGACGTGTGGGCCATGGACTTGACAACGCACACATGGACCGAGCTCACAACAAGCGCCGCGTCGCCGCAGCCCGCCGCTCGCTTCTCCCATGCGGCCTCGACCATCACAGGTTTGTGTCGAGCTCTTTCGCGATGAGAGCCTCATACGCATCTAGTCGACGGCGTCGAGCACCTTGTGATTTTCAGCGGGCGGCACATTCTCGTCAACGGCTGGACCATCCTCAGTGATGCATGGATGCTACCGCTCAACTCGGTCCGAGGCTCAACTGTACGGAGTCATCGATTATCAACAAATGCGCTAGACGGAACCCCGTGTCTGGACGCTGTTGACGTCGAGCCATTCGCTCGAGCGCATGTTTACGAGCGCCGTGACGGTTCACGGCAACATTTGGTTCTTTGGTGGCCTCGACTATGTCTCGGACAGCTCGATGGCGGTCTTTGCCGACACGATCGTCGGCGACGTCGACCACGCGACGCGCGCCGTCACCTTTTACGCCGACGCGCCCACCGCCGTATGCTCAACTCGCTCGCTGATGTGCAAACGATGTTGTGGAACCTAGGCGAGTCCGAGCGAGCGGTACGGGCACCGCATGGCTGTCTGGCGCGACAACGTGCTGCTGTTTGGCGGTCAAGACAGGACGTACCTCGGCGACCTCTGGCTGCGCAACACGTCGGTGCTGCCAAAGAGCCTCTTCCACCCGGTCTTGCCGTCGGCCGACTATGCGCTATGGGACCTCTCGACGCTCTTTCTCGCAATGCTGTCGGGCTTTGTCGCCGTCTGCTTGGGCTTTGGGTACATGTTGTACCGCAAACTGCACCGGCATTCAGTACGTTTGAACGTGGCCATCATGAGTGTACGGACTTTCATGTAGCGCGGCGGTGAGCCAGGCGCGCCTGTCCGGCCGCGAGGACTCTCGACCGATGAAATCGCCCAGTTCGAGCTCGTGCCGGTACGTGCTGATCACTCGACAATTGCGTCATTTTTGGTTCCATGGAATAGTTTGAGCCGACAGTGCACGGGTCGGCCGACGATGTGTGCCCCATCTGCTTGGTGCGCTGCATAATCTCTGGATGCGCTGGACGGATTCGCTTAGGTCGACTTTGCTGTTGGTGAGCGCTTGCGACAACTGAGCTGTGGACATCTCTTCCACCCGCAGTGCATTGACGAATGGCTTCACAAAAACTTTGTACGTTTCTAGAGATGGACGAGCTATGAGACAATATTCTTTGTAGACGTGCCCGATGTGCAAGCGGGACCTCGCGCAACCAACGGACACGCCGCCAACGGCGGACGCGCCGTGACATTGCCACGCTATCATTTCACGGATGGGGTTGTCTCGCGTTCCCTTAAGATTAGGCCACCTTCAACGTTGAGCTTGCACCGGAAAATAAATATTTCAACACGTCTTTTCGGGTGGACGACGTTTTAAAAATATACGCACCGCCGTGACGTCACTGGCGGCGGCGCCTGCGCGTTCGCGGTCCAGTAGAAGTCCGTGCGGTATGCGTCAAGCGCACTATCATTCTGACAAAGGGGTGCTGTGAAACGCCCTTCAAAAGAACGTCCGATTAAGTACGAGGTTGCGATCTCGCCGTTGGAGCTCGCCGTTGGATCTCGTCGGGCACAACACGCAGCCAGCCGTGAGTGATCATGACCATACGATACCAAGCCTGCGATGTTGGCAACACAAACAGTCGTACTTGTAGCGTGCTCTTTCAACGACAGCTGCGTCGTCAGTGCTGGAACGAATGCGCTAAGATCTTTGTCTTCAACCGGACGCTCGACTAAGTCCGGTTTAGGTTTCTTTCTGCCCTTTCCATTTCCATATCTTGGGCCAAGTGCATGATGGAGATCCACGACGCGTTCTACGCCCAGGCGCCGCCGTTCCCGCGGTCGCTCCTCCGGCAGTACAGCCTCAACATCCCGCGGCCTGGCACGGATGGCCTCCATGAGAAGGTCGTCTCCCACGTGCGCGAGCGCTGGGATCACTACCAGACCAAGTGGCGCCTCACGGACCCGGCGACGACCACGATCTACGACGCGGAGGTCGTCGAAGTTGTCTTTGGCGAAGGCACGCTGGGCCTCGAGCTATCGATTCTCGAGTCCAAGGACAAGGTTATGGTCAAGACATATATTGGCGGACCGTCGCCCATCACGGTCGTCGCGGGTGGCGATCTGCGGAAAGGGCTTGTGGTCGATGCCATCGATGGCGTAGACGTACGCATACTGCATACCATGCACACGAACCAGCGGTCTCATACGTATATGCTGCGTATAGGTCGATACACTGCCCGCGATGGAGGTCTTGAAGCGGCTCCAGCATGCACCGCGCCCGACAACCGTCCGCTTTACGACGTGCGAGACATCGACGGTGGTGTGTCGCCTCTGCGAATGCCTCGTCGACGTCAACCAGCTCGAAGAGCACACGGAGTTTTGCGTCTTTTCGTGCAAGCACGAGCAGCAGGCCGACGCGTTGAACGCGCGGCTCCGGCGCGTCGCCAGCTGCATCACGTCCAGCATGCGCACCGAGGCGATCCGCGCGTCGTTCAGCGAGACCGACACCCAGTACTACAAGACGATGCGGTCGATTGCGCTCCAGGTCCCTCTATATTGTCGCTGGCACCCACTCACTCTCGCGCTTGCAGGCGGCCATGTGTGACATTGCAAGTATCGAGTCGTTCGACTTGTGCGTGCAGCTCCTCAAGGCGCTCGAGGTCGCCGACCCCGACACGCTCTCGTCGAGCAGCGTCGTCGAGCGCGGACTCAAGTTTACCAGCCGCATCGCTGACCTTATCCACACCAAGATGAGTCAGATGCGATCGACGCAGAAGCTGCTCTTGACGCGCGACGCGTCGCTGCTATCGTCGGCGCCAGCCCCTTTTTACCGCACCAAGTCGCTCGAAAACAACGCGGTCGAGACCAGCGTGAGCTTCTTGCCGAGCCACCGGTCGTCGCGCATCTCGATCTCGTACGTATTGGATATATATTGGCTCGGGCTAAAGTGCGCTGGTGAAGAGACTTTGATATTATCAAGCCCGTCTCCAAAGGCGCGTTTGGGCGCGTGTACTTGGCCCGGAAAAAGACCACCGGCGACCCATATGCGATCAAAGTGCTCGCGAAAGCCCACGTTCTTCGCAAAAAGCAGGTGCAATATATATTGCGCGGTTTCCAATATATATTCTCACGGGGCAGGGCTAGCTAAGCCACATTGAGACGGAGCGCAACGTCCTCGCCAACGTCGAGAGCCCGTTTGTCGTCAAGCTCTTTTGGACTTTTCAGTCCAAGTACGTTGTATGGGCACCGAATCCCACTGACGCTTTCGTAGGCACAACCTCTTTCTCGTGATGGAGTACCTCCCAGGCGGCGATTTCATGTCGCTTCTCGAGTGCATTGTGCGGCTGGAAGAAAATGTTAGTTTTTGGAGGCCAATATATTGTGGCTAATATTGTACAATTGTCTAGGTCGCCAGCATTTACATTGCCGAGATTGCGCTCGCGCTCAACCATTTGCACTCGAAAGGGTGTGTGCACCGCGACCTCAAGCCCGACAATATTCTTATTGGCGTCAACGGCCACATCAAAGTGCGTCCGCTTGTATCAGTGTATCAGGCAGGTATCGAACTTGCCTCGTAGCTGACGGACTTTGGGCTCTCGGAAGAGGCAGTCACGTGGGACGAAGCCGACGACCGCGACGAGGCACTCTACGACCTGAACGAGTCGTTTGCATGTGCTTTGACGACGACCAAGCACAGTGATGACGACGGCGACGACGACGACGGTCTCCACGACGAATTTCTGCAGGCGTTTGCGTCGAGCCCGCCGCGAGCGGTCGCAACCTCACACCAGTCGGTGCACCGCTGCGGCACGCCCGACTACCTCAGCCCCGAAATCATCCTCGGCGATCGGCACGGCGCACCCGTCGACTATTGGGCGCTCGGCGTCATCATGTACAGCGCTCGTGCTCATGTGGAAGAAACTCAGCACTACTCGGATGTAGATACGAGATGCTCGTGGGCTTCCCGCCCTTCAACGACGACACGGTCGAGGCTATTTTCTCCAACATTCTCGCCGGGCGGATCGTGTGGCCCAACCAGGACCAGCGATTGAGCGCGTCGGCCGAGCACCTCATCAACCGGCTCCTCGAGATGGACCCGGAGAAGCGCATGGGCTGGGACGAGCTCCGGGCGCACCCGTTCTTTGTTGAACACGACATCAACTGGGACACGCTGCTGGAGACGAGCCCGCCGTTTGTGCCGACGCTCGACGATCCGTACGACACGAGCTACTTCAACAACCGCGACCTCACCGAGGACTTTGTCGACGATGACGACGACAGCGTCATGCCTTCGACGACCAATGCGATTACGATCCCCGAGAGTGACGCGTCGCCGCACTATGGGTACGGCTCGCCGCTCTTGACGCCGACGACGCCCGAAGCCTTTCGGTCGTTTAGCTTTACCAACATGAATGCGCTCGCGGCCGCAGGGCGCGAAGAGGCGCACGGCAAAATCCTCGACGACCACGCGTCGACCTTTAACCTCTGGTTGTAGCTTCGTCGCTCGTATTTAAATAGTGTTTCACTTGCATAATAGGAATCCTAGTTTTGACTTACATGGTGGGCAACGTTTTATTGAGTGGCCATGCGTACAGTTTATGGCCTTGGTATTCTTGCTTTTGGAGTGAAGCTTTGGAAATGTGAGATTTTTGCCTACTAGTAGCGCCAGAACGGGCGTCGTTGTGCCCGTTAAAGAGAGTTCATTCAGATGCAAAGTACACTGAACTGGTTGTCGTGGTGCACTTCTTACGCCCAGCGTCCTGCGACTGAGCGGCGGCAGCAAGGCGAGCAATATTGCCGTTGGTAAGACTGACTGTTCGCAACCGGAAAAAGTGCTAGAGCGTAATTACATGTAGCATTTGGCCACAATCGTCGTACAAAGTGGTAGCTTGATAGGCCCGATTGTTTGGACAGCCGTTGCAGTCAGAACGCGCTTGACGCCCCGATTTTATCCGGACAGTATTATCCGTACACAATGGAGCGCAAGCAGCTCACTCAGCGAGGTGCGTCGACATTTGATGTTTTTGACAGAGTCTCGTGTTTCGTTCGATATGCATAGTACATGACGCAGGAAGTCCAAAAACCAAAGAATGGTACTCGTAGCACACCTACAGCGTGCGCTATGCGCCTTCAAGTTGTTGTAAACTGATACTTCGCTGAGTATCAATGTATCAATGTATCGTTTTCTTACAATCAGCACAGCGCACGCTGTAGGTGTGCTACGAGCACCATTCTTTGGTTTTAGGACTTTCTGCGTCAAGCGCTATGCATATCGAACGAAACACGAGACGCCGTCAAAAACATCAAAGGTCGATCCACCTCGCTCGGGGAGCAGCTTGCCCTCCACTGCGTCCGGATAATATTGTCCGGATAAAGTCGGGCTTGTCCGACGCAAAGATGGTGAGGGTTTGCCGAGCGCTTTACCGACGAGAAAGACGAATACTCACGCACCAAGGCCTTGGGGTTCGTGGCACGAACCTCGAGTCTCTGTATTGGTTGTCGCACTGGTGTAGCAGCTTGAAAAGCTCCCGGTTCTGCAGTGTGTTGGCATTCAGCTGTGCGATGGTACTTCTACAGCCTGCTGCCTGTTCAACAACTAGTACGTGGAAGGCCTCGATGAGATTTTGCACATCCCGCTCTTCTGCTCTGGCCGTCCTCCAACACAATTGACCGTGCGCTTCCCGGCGCCATGGCAACCACGTCTCCATAATGCCGTACATAGACCTTGGGTTGACTAGTACTTGCCAGCACCTTTATCTAACGACGCTTGCTTTCACGAGCCAGTAGACCTGACAATAAGATTGCTTCATGGCTGGTATGTGCAGTACACCGAAGAGTCTATGTCCGACCGTGGGGACCGCGTGGTCGATCGGCACGGGACGTCGTGGACGTGTGCGTCAGCGTCGTGTAGCTCAGGCATCGACGCTGGTTGAGGTACGCAAGGACGCAGTTCTTCTTGACAGCACGAGCGAGGCGGCCGTAGCCAACGATATCTTGTGGCGAGAGCGTCGCACTCACGAGTACAAAGATGATGGCGGACGCATGCGTCGTCACGGGGTCCGCTGGGTGTCTTTGCATGAGCTAAAACGTATGTTGCAATGCAATACATACCGTTGTAGATGAGAAAGTCGCCACCAAACTTGGATCCGGACGTGATGTAAAAGCCTTGGGACCATAGATCTTCAAAGACGCGGTGGTGAAGCGGCACGTCCACAGCCACGGCTGCAACAAAATAGTCAGCGCGAGCAATTGCATCCGAATTTACCAGAGTCCTTTGCATCGGGATCGGAGAGTTTCCTTCGCTTCGCTTGAGGCGACCCTGGAGCGTCTCTAGCATCATGTATGTCATGGTGGCGAAGGAGGAATCCTATCGCTCGTACGTCATGGGCGCCGGGTTAAAGAGGGCCTTGAGCGCGACCCACGCATTTGTCCACCAAGAGGTCGCGGCTTCTGTAGGCGGTTCGTCAAGTACCGCGGGCGTCGGCTTGTCTTGCTCGAGAAAGCCGTGCAATCGGCCAACGTACAGCTGCGCCGGCGTCAACTGCATCGGCAGGCGGTGCTCGGACGCCTTGTTGCTGTTGTGGCGACAGATGCCGCCAGAGCCGCACACGATGCGGTGCGTCTCGCGCAGCTCTTGCACCTCGGCGGCTGTCCACACCTTCCCGTCCACGCACGCGCAGATGACCATCGGGACCGGACGCGCCACTTGGTCACCAGCAAACTGGCACATTATCCGGAGAAACCGGATACCTGGTTCCCGCCACGCGCCCGCATTGGCAACCGCAGCTCGCAGCGTGCTTGTTTGCAGTTATTAGCGAGAGTACGTCTGTGGGAGCCGTGTGGTCAACACGTCCAAGATGACATCCGCTGGAGGATGACTTCCTCCACTACAATTGTCATTCGTTCCCAAGCCTCTGCACGCAGCTATATAAGCATCAGTTGAAAAATTGGAATATCGTGAGCTCTACTAGGCGCTCAGCGTTGGCCCGTTTTCAGAGGCACCTTTCTTGACGCGACGGGACCGCATGTGCACGACTTCGCGAAAATGACGGCCGCTGGCGTGGCGAAGTGTCGCGGTCTCGTCGTCTTGGTCGTCGAGCACGTAGCTCCATGTGCCGTACTCGCTATGGGCGTCCACGCCGCGCGCCTTGAGATCGTCCAGCATGGCGTGCCCGAGCGTGTCTTCGATAAAGTCGCCGGGCTGGAAGCGCCCGTGGCCAAACACAAAGCTGCGATAGTGCTCCGTGCTTGCCACGTGGGGCTTGTCGTACCAAAAGTAGAGCGGTGCAACGCAGATGCCGCCAAGATTTACCGCAGTAGGTGGTGGCAAGCCAGGACGGCTTTTCTTCTTGAGGGTCTTGCGCGAGTGGAAGCCAACGTACTTGAGGGTCTCGGGCAGACTTGCCATTGCTGTACATACGGGCTGCAGGTCGAGGGCATGCTACGCAGCGTACACCGTTATACAAACAAAAAGCCTCATCCGAGAACGCACAAGGAACGTCCAGTCGTGCTGATGGATGAGCACAAATGGAGTCGTGACACTAGAAGCGAATGAGCAACCGAAGGGAGTTCACTACTAGGCCGTACTGCTTGAGTGCTTCCCGCACGGCTAGCGCAAAGCCCATGCGCTTGGACATGATAATCGACGTCAGGCTCGTGCCAGCCACGGGGTCCGTCTCTCTGTGGATCGTGGCGCGGGCTGTCGTTCGCCGTTTGATGGGAAACTCCTCGTCGTAGCTCTCGACCACGGCCGCGTCCGTGAGCTGCAGGTGGCGACGAAAGACTGCGCGCGCATTGTGTTGGTACTCGACGTACTTTTCGATCTCGTCGGCGCTAATGCGCGTCGACTTGAACTTGGTTTTGACGTCGTCCCCGTCCTTGGCGACATAGCCGTCAAAGGTCAAAACGACGTTGCAGGTGGCGAGGCCGGGTACGTAGGCAAAACTGTCGAGGACTTCTTCGAGGACAATCGTCGCTGGGTTCGACGGGATCGCTGATGTTGTAAACACCACCGTGAGGAGGTCGCGCAGCGGCGCGTCGGCCATCGATGGTGTTGGCGGTTCCTGCCCAAATCAGCGGGATTTGATTCGCCACTATCCTCCAATCATACGCTTATATTATATTCTTAAATACTGTGAGCTCGACAACAGACAAATTGGTGCCCACGAGCCCACAACCAAGCCAAGTCATTCTCTAGTGTGAGGTCACTTAGTTAGTAATCGCACTCATCGTAAGCACTTGCTGCTTGCTGCGTGTTGCAGTCTGTTGCACGTGGCGATTGGGTTGGCGTACACACTATTTAATGGTGCAATGACGGAGCGAATCAAATCGCTGGGCCAAATAATCGGGAACAGCCAATCACGACGCACTTGACGTTGATTTTTGGCCAATCATTGTGACCTCTCGTGGCATTAAAATACTTTGAGATTTGTAGCGCTGGCCGCGCGTCTTGATTCGTTGAAATCTGTGTTTCGCAATCCGAGCATTCGCGAGGATGACGACGAGCAGCCAGAAGATCCCGGCGCTCGACAAGTACAACGCATGGGTGCTCGAGAATGAGTCGCTGGCGCGCCGCCTCGAGAACATCTTCTACGTCGTGCCCATGCTCGTGCCCGCGCGCGTCGGCAACCCGGACATTGTCTCGGAGGTCGGCTACTCGATGGGCGGCCTCCTCAAGCTGTACCACGACTACCTCTTGTACCGCGCAGTGCACCCGGAAGAGACGCCGCGCACGCTTGTGCAGGCGGCGCGTGTGCCATTGTCGCTTCTCGCCCAGGTGCAAGTGGCGGCCGAGATCATTGCGCTCAAGACCGGCGGCTCGGACGCTCGGTGGCGTGTCGTACGTACTCGATGACATTGCATTCGCTAGCTTACGCGGCGTGCAGATTGTCGCCCTCGAGATCTGCAAGTGCTTTTGCAAGCTCGCCCTCCTTGGCCATGCAAAAGGCCAAGTGCTCTACAAGAACGGCACGGTACACCGCGCCTCGCATGCTAGACGAGGTCTCAGGGCGCCATGTGGTAGTACATCACGTGCGAGGTGCCGGCGACAGAAGGCAAGAAAGACTCGGCCGAGTACACGGGCCAGCGCTCTGGCCGCGTCTTTAAGAATCACCGCGAAGGTGTGCTGCGACAACGTGACGTTGTGCATCAATTGTCTGCGTCTCTACTAGCTGGCCAGTCGTCGCAGGAGCCGCTCACGCTCTCCTTCGTGGTACGCTCTCTCTCTTTGGCCAATGCCAAATCTTGGCACGAATAGGACGCGACCGTCGCATCCGGCCATGAAGGTCCGCTGCAGCTCATGGGCGAGATCCTGCATATTCTGCGGCCGGTCGTCTACGCCGTGCTCTGGTACAGCGCCCCATCCTCATCGCTCGGTGTTGACGCAGCGCTGTCTAGTCAACGCAAGTCGGAGCAGTCGTGGGTTCCCTTCCTCGCCTCCTTCTCGACCGAAGTCCTCGGGTATTGGCCTATTGCTTTTCTGCATGACGATGCATATGTGAGAATGCTAGCCTTCTCTGCTCGTCGGCCGAGCCGTCCACAAAGGCGACGCCGGCCGTCACGGAAGAGTTCCGCCGACGCAAGGTCCACGTCGCCGCGTCCTCGTTCTGTCCTCATGCTCTTTGCAGATGTGTCTCTTTTTGTATTTGCTCCGGAACCCGCTCTTCTCGAGCGTCACTAACCCCCTTGCCGACAGCGTACGCTTCCGCTGCTGCATGCTCCGATCGTCAAACTGCGTCGAATTAGGTGGCCAACGCGACGCAGCCCGTGCCGGTCCTCGGCCGCCTCATTCAGTTTGCCATCGACAACGGCCTGCTCTACTACCAGCGCCGCCATTTTTACACGTCGGCTTCGTAAAGATGCGAGCTCCTGCTTGCCGATGCGTTAAGCAACGAAATAGCTAATCGTGCTGGTGGTCGCGAATGTCTAGTCGCACGCCACTTGCGTCTAATTCCATGCGCTCATTTGCGGTGGCCAGCGCCACTACGTAATAGGTCGATAGCAGTCATACTACCCTAGGACTGTCAATGCAAGCTGAGCGCGGCGGATGAGGCCAACGCCGCAGAAGCTCGCTCGGGAGCTTTGCGACATTAGCCCCAAGACGCCTATCGTGGTTGGGTGTTTTTATCCTTCCAAACGGGCCAATCCGAAATTGGGTTGCCATTTTGAAGAACACCCGACGGCCCGATGCTGTGGCCGTCGCTCTGTCTCGTGAGCATCTACTGCTACCTCGCCTACCACAACTATAACGTCGCCAAGATGGCCAGCTACTGCATCCAGCAGGTGACCAAGATGCAGGCGCAGCTGCTCGATCACCTGCCCCGAGCGACGAGCCACCGGCTGCCACGAGCAGCAGCAGCACCACCGTGCGCCAAGCCTCCGGCCATCGACCTCACCAACGACAAGGACGACGCGCCTCTTCCGCAAGAACCGATCGCCATTGACGACGAGACGAGTCCAGCCGATGCCACGCTAAGGAACGAGTCCAACTACTGCTTCCTCAATGCGACGCTGCACTGCCTGCTTCGCACACGCGACTTTCGAGCGTCACTTGCGAATGCATTTCGGCCACTCTCAACGACAAGACGCGCCTTGACGCCACGCGAGCGATGCGTTGGTGTCTTGCTCGATGTCACGCACATGCTCAAGGAACGCAAGGGCGCGACGCTGGACCTTCTTGCCTTGGGTTTGGTCGATGCGCTACGGAGGATTGGCGTGACGTGGATCGACCTGCCTCGGCGACAAGGCCAGCAAGACGCTGAAGAGTGCTTGTCGTATCTCCTCGAGCTGATCCGTGGCGTTGTCCAAGCACCTGCGGCGTCCCTGAGCCCCCGAAGCGAGCACGCGCTCTCGGCCGCGACCAAGGCGCTCGACCATGTGCTACACACATGCTCGTCGCACGACTCGAGTGCGTACAGCGCTCCACTCGGTATACGCTTGCCTCTCCTCTGTCGCCTCACGTCACACGCCATCTAGAGCACCTGGCGAGCCTCACATGGGACAAATTCATTCGCGGCAACCCCTCGTTCGTCGCGGACGACTTTATGGGCCAGCTCGTCCAAGGCTCCACGTGCGTTTCCTGCAACATGCTCTCGTACCACCTCGCGACCACCACGTACGTTCGCTTCATAACGATGCTTGGTGCTCACGATGCGATAGCGTCGTGGCGCTCGGGCTCCACTCGTCGACCGCCGCCATGTCCCTCGACAGCTGCCTTGCGGCGTTCAAGCAGGTCGAAGACCTTTGCGCCGAGGACGCCGTCTATTGCGAGCGCTGCGACCGCCGGACCGGACACCACATCCAAACGCTCTTTATGCGCGTCCCCAAGCGCCTCGTGCTCCAGCTCAAGCGCTTCACGTGCACCCGAGTTGGGCACATGGCCAAGAACAGCGCGGCCGTCATCTTTCCGGTCCAGCGGCTCAACATGACGCCGTACCTCTTTTCGCAGCAGGCACCGTGCGAGTACCAGCTCTACGCCGTCTGTGCCCACACGGGCAGCTCGGTCGCGGGCGGGCACTACCTCGCGTACGCGCGGCTGTCACTCACCAACGGCACGTCGCTCTGGCTCAAGTACAATGACGCGCACCTGACGACGCTCAGCCAAGCGCAAATGCTGCACGAGACTGCGACGTCTGCGTACCTCTTGTTTTACGAGCGCGTCGAGCCCCGCAGCTCTATTTAACCCCATCGTATTATAGTTAGTTAGTCGAGTCCCTTTGGTGCATGCCAGTTGAAGTTGCGTTAAACTCGGTCCCGTCGGGTTTAAACGCGTGCGAATCGCCGGATATGTGGTATCCGGATTCGAGAGCTTGGTCTTCCTCGGCGAGAAAGATATCGGCGGCAGCATCATGGAGCGGGGCATGGACATGGACGACGTCGTGCATCGCCCGCTGCTCTTCGCGACGAAGGGCTACGCGTCGTCCCAGCTCCTCCTCGACGACGCGCAGCGGAAGCGCCGCCACCGCAACGACGTGGACGACGATGGGCGGCTCGAGGACGCCAACCTGCATGGGCCATCGGCACCGCGCCTCCGACTTGAGACGCTTGGTTCGCGCGCGGCCATGATCGTGCTGGCCGCTTCGTACGTCTCGTTCTGTGTGGCTTTGGTCATGGCGTACTTGTACAGCGATGCGTACCTCCGGACCGTACGTGTTGTCGTGAATCATGGCACACATCCTCTGTGTAGACGATAGACTTGCCCGGCAATGTGTGCCAGCCGACGACGCCGATCGACACGCCATGTACATACATCGACTACCACACAGCGAACGCATGGTACGCAGCCAACGTGAGCAATGTCTCGTGGTTGGCAGGCTCGATGCAGCTGAGTATTCTACCGGCCAACCTCACGCAGCACGAGCCGAGCTTCGTGCTCGAGTACGACGTGTCTGTCTACGGCGGGCGCTTCCCGTTCACCGAGCACGGCGCGCACAAGCCCATCTTCCGCCTCGCGAACCAGAGCCTCTGGCTGCACTGCGCAGAGAATGCATGCGACGCCGCACCGCTCTTTGATATCTCCCAGGCGAACGAAGGCCTCGTACGCCTCCTCCTTGATGACACGAGCTTGAAACTCATGCGCGTGTAGGGAGGCAACGGGTACGGCTCGTACCTCATTCTCGTCGTCTTCCACGGCTACTACCCGCACCTCTTTGCCCGCGACGTGCAGTACGCCTTTAGCTTCACGTAATTTGTCGCTCGGTCTTGCTCCCACGCTGACTCTGTACAATAGGAAGCCCGCGGTCGTCGTCAGCCAGCTCATCGTGCGCACCGCGCTGCTCTTGCTCTCGCTTGGCGCGCTTCCGTACTGGGTTCGGGCCGTGCCGGCGCCGCGGCTTCGTATTCAGGCGCAGCTCTTCTGGGTCCTTGTCGTGCTCGTGCTGTGGCAGAACCCCGTGTTTGTCGTCGCCCAGTGGTTTGGCGACGTCTCGGACGCAACGCGCCTCAGCGCCAACATTGTCCAAGCGTGGGCCAATGCGATTTTTCGCGGCCTCTGGCTCGTCATGCTCGGCCACCCGGCGTCGACCACGACCCGCGTCTGGCCCAAGGTCCTCTTCGTGCTGCTCTTTGGCAGTCTCCAGACGAGCGAGAGCATCTTGCGGCTGCCGTCGCTCTCGCCCGGCCACGAGCCGGAGGCCGAGACGGCGTACATTGCGCTGGGAATCGCGCTCCTCGTGCTCCACTGGTACTGGCTCGCGTGGGTAGTACAGACTGCGCTCGAGACGGCCGCGACGCTGCAGTCGTTCGTGTACATGCTGTCCCGCCACGAACAGTTGAGCTTCCGCTTTCTCGTGTTCGAGTCGGTCTTGCTCTTGCTGCAGCTCTTGCTCGCCTCGGTCGTGCACGCGGTGCAGCTACTCGCTGCCGTCGTCTCGGCCGAAGGCAGTGCGTCCATGGCGTCACTCCGACGCGCGTGCATCGTCGTGCTCGGTTCCATGGGCAACGACATGCCGCAGCTTTCGTTCGTCATCTTTTTTGCGGTCTTTGTGTCGCTGGTGCTCTGGGTGCACTTGCCCGCGCCGTCGATCACTGCGACGTCATCGCTCTTTGCGTCGACAGCGTTCTACGTGCACGAAAAGCACCAGCACAACAGACAACACGTGTTCTGCCTCGAGACGGCCGAGTGGCTCGTGCAAATCGCGTGGCAGGCGTACTTCGACCCGATCGGGAATCCGTCGGCGTCCGGCGCCGGCGTCCAGACGCTCGACACCTTTGGCTTTGAGCTCATCGCGCACCTGCGGCACGACCTCGTCGATACGCACGCGGTCGTGTGCGTCAACCGCGAGACGCACCAGCTCATCGTGGCATTTCGCGGCTCGGTGAGCAAGGCGCACTGGAAGACAAACCTCCGATTTCATCAAGTGCCGCTCTGGATGCACGCGATCAGCGGTCGCGGCAAGCAGCGCCGTCGTCGAAGCTGCAAGGAGCGACTCCAGCTCTGCGCGGGACGTATCCCGCTCCTCAACCTGGCGCTGCCCCGCGTCCACAGCGGTGCGGTGCCATACTCGCGGTCGTGTCGTTGATATTGGCATAGGGTTTTGGAAAGCGTACGCTGCGGTGCGCGACGACCTCAAGGAGACGCTGCGCCTCGTGCTGCAGGACGACCCGCACCTGCGCGTGTACGTCACGGGGCACAGCATGGGCGGCGCGCTCGCTGTGCTCGCCGCGTACGACATTGCGGCTCATTTTGGCGCCACGCGCGTGTCCATGTACAATTTTGGCGGCCCGCGCGTCGGCAATCCCGCCTTTGTGCGCCAGTACAACCGCACGGTGCCCGAGAGCTTCCGCGTCGTCTACGACGGCGACCTCGTGGCGGGCATCCCGCGCTTTGTACGTCATCTCTTATGCAATTCGCTAAGTCGTTGTGGTGTTGCTAGTGGGGCCTCTACGAACACGTTGGGCGCGAAGTGGCGATCGACGGCGCGGGGAATGTGCTGTTGGACCCGAGCTTCATTGAGCGACGCCTCCTCGTGTCGTCCAAGACCAAGGTGGCATCGCACGCGACGCTTGTGTACCGCAACGCCCTCCGCCTCTGCCTCGATAACCTCCGCGACGAGTCCTAAGACGAGGCATGCGTCGTTTCTTGGTTGTCTTATAGTGCAAAGCCGTGGAGCGACGGACGCCGCGCGGTCGGCGGCGGCAGCTTGGACGACCCCAGCGGATCCACAAAGCTGTTGGAGCGCCCGTCGCGCGACTGGATGAACTTGCTGTTTAAGATGTGCTGGGATGGAGAAGAATGTACCTTGGGCTTGCTGGACTGGAGCGGGTTGAACTGGGTGCGCTGGTACGACGACCCTGGCCGGGAGAACTCGGGAATCTACTCGAGTGCGTGCGTCCATGCCGCCTGCCATGGAGACGGAGGTGTACGTTGTCGTTGCCGAGCTCGGGCTGGTCCGGCGCGACCTTGCGGATGATTCCTTTTCCGACAAGGTCCGACTTGAGGCTCTTCTCGCACCCGCGCGCTGGAAATATCAATATGTCAAGCGGATACTCAATATCAAGCGAGAGCTACCTGCAAAGAAGGCCCAGATCGCCTCCGAGATGCTCGCATAGTCGGTGGGCGTCCGGCCCTCAGCGTCGCGAGCGTACGGGTCGGCGTCCGCGTCGAGGAGGATACGTACGACCTTGCCGTGCTCTTGGAATGCCGCTGCGTGCAGCGCCGTCCACGCCGTGCCTAGATATGGATATATCTCATCCATATTCAAGGGCCTGGTACCGTCGTTGCGGGCCGAGACGCGGGCGCCGCGCGAAAGCAGGAACTTGACCATTGCTTCGTTGCCCCAGAGCGCTGCGGCGCAGAGCGGCGTCGTTCCATCTACATCGATATCAGCATCGAGAAGCATGGGAGCGTCGTATACCACGGCCAGGCGCATCAATGTCGGCGCCATTGTCGAGGAGGAATTCGACCTGCAGAAGCGCAAGATGAGGACGAGGATCGATAGACATGGAAGCGCACCATGGTCTTGGAGCCATTGGCCGCGGCCTCGGCGAACTGGACGTGGGCGTGCACGACGCCGCCGTCGCTCGTCTCTTGGTTGACTTCTTCCATGTTAATTTGGCTCTGGCCGTTTAGAAACGCTAGGCTAAATCGAGGTGGCGGTTCGGGGCCAAGCAGTCGGCCTCGAGACCCGTGAGAAGGTCGACTTGTATCCCGTGGTCGCGCAGAAGCTGGACGCCTGTGCATGTTACGAACGTGCTGGGCTCCATGGCGCCGACGACGACGCGGGCGACGCCGGCCTCGATGCAGCTCTCAACGCACGGCTTGTTACCCGAGAGGCGCACGCTGCATGGCTCCATCGTCGTGTAGAGCGTCGATCCATTCGCCTGCATTTGCAGCTTGAGCAGCGCGCATTGCTCCTACCAGATGCCATGAGGTGGCGAAGGGCCAGGGATCAACGGCGCACCGCATGCGTGTTGCCGGGCAACTCCCTCGAAAAACCTGTCGCGAGGACGCGGCCGTCCTTGGTGACGACGCAGCCGACGCAGAACGCACTGTCAACCGGCGGCGACCGGTGTGCTTCGGCGATCGCAAGGCGCATGTAGCGCTCGTCTTCGGTCATCTCTCGGATCAATATGAAATAGGTTGAATATCCAATATATATTCAATATTACAATCTCGATATTCAATATGTAATATGGCGGCAATCGCTGGATGCAAGGGCCGACGATTGCCGCGTGCCACGGTGCGCTATGCGATTGTCTTCCAACCTGTACAAAACACTATAACCTTGTCGACGACTCCCAACGACCTAACGAAACCACTAGTCGAGTGCGGGTTAGGAAGTCGAAAAAGAAGAAATCGTGTAGACAGATAGTGTAGATAGAAAGTTGCTAGTAGGTCGCTCATGCGTGTTATATTCCAAGACCTCTTGTTGCCACCGCGTGGGCTACGGCTTCGTGGCTTGCGTCAGCGAAATCGAGAGCGGTCTCTGGCGTCCGGATTCGTAGCTCGGGGGGCGAGTTGCTCATTGAAGGCGACTGCCTTGTCGCGCTCGGCAGTCATGTCACGCAGTGCGCACTGAGCCGAGATGACCTCTTGGGCGCACGCTGCTAGGACCCGCTTGCACTGAAATAGCTGAATCTTGATGTGTTTGGCGGCCGATGCGGCCACCTCCATCTCCATCTTGTACTGTCGTCGACAGTTGGCGAGTGTTGCAATGGCCGCTGTAGCGAGACCCGTGATAGTCGCGTTGCCTTGTTGGGCGTGCGTCAGTCGTATTTTGGACGCGGCGGCGGCCGAGGCCGCTGCTATGTCAAGTGCGCGGTGCCCTTGCTGTAGCGTGCTGAACGCGGTGCGGAGCTCGGTCAGGTCGCGCTGCGCGCGCTCCTCGGTGCGGTGCAGCTGGATCTTGGTATTGTGCCATGCGACCTTGAGGTCGGCGCTGATGGTTGTAGCCGTCACACGCTGGACCCGAGCGGCTTCGTGCAGCGCAGCGACTTGGGCTCGGAGCTCGGTGATCGTATTGTCTCTGGCGGTAAGCGTTGCGTCTTTGGAGGCAATGACGGTGTGCAGCGCCTTGGTGCTTTGGGCCGCGCGTTCGGTCGTGCGGTGGAGTCGAATCTTCAAATTGTGTACTTGGATCTTGAGGTCGGCGCTGATCTCGGTAGCAGTGACGCGCTGGACCCGCGCGGCTTCGTGGAGGTCGGCGACGTTGGTCGTGAGGTGGGCAATGGTCGTGTCTTGGGTGGCGACTGTCGTCTGGAGCGCCGTGATGGTCTCGACATTGTCAGGCAACGGACGAAGCTGGGTGTCGTACGCTGCCTTGGCAGCTGTCAAGAGCTTGTAGGCAAAAGGGCGGAGGCCGAGAAGCACGCGGCGCATCCCGAGGGTGCGGATGAGCATGGCCATGAGGACGCCAGCGGCGAGGTAGCGCTGGGATTTGGCACTCGTGCGCGGAATATAGAGCGCAAGGAAGCCAAGCATCGGGGTGGGCGTCGTCGTCATCAGCATGCTAGAACAGTTCTCGAATGTAAATGACGTCACTTGCTTTTTTCCGAGGTAAAAGCTGCGGTCGAGCCTTTTGCACACAAACCTTTCCATGCGGAGGCGCTAACTAGTGTTGGTCAACCCGAGGGCTGCGGCAGATAATTTAGAAGAGACCATTGATCGCACGTATGTTGTGTTGGAGTACGGCCAAAGTGGAAGTGCGGGGCGCTGCCACGTCATTCGCGACCTGCAAAATCTTATCGAGGCCTTCCTCGTACTAGTTGTTGAACAGGCAGCATGTTGTAGAAGTACCATGCGCGAGCCTCTCGCCCTCTCGGGACCAATTAGGATCTGTCCATCCCCGAAATGTGCTACGACTAGACTATGAAACGCACAGCTGCATCCAAACTGCAGAACAGGAAGCTTCTCATGTTGCTACACCAGTGCGCAACCAATACAGAGACTAGAGGTTTGCGCCATGAATCCCAAGGCCTTGGTGTATGAGTATTCGTTTTCTCGTCAGTACCATCGTACCCGGCACGAAGCCGCGATCGATGCGCTCGCCACATCTTTGCGTCTCCTGACAAGCCCGACTTTATATAGACAATATTATCCGGACAAGACGAGGGCAAGCCGCTCACTCAGCGAGATGGGTCGACCTTTGATGTTTTTGACAGAGTCTCGTGTTTCGTTCGATATGCATAGCGCTTGACGCACGGAGTTCAAAAACCAAAGAATGGTGCTCGTAGTGTACCTACAGCGTGCGCTGTGCTGGTTGTAAGAGAAGGATATATTGATACATTGATATATATATATAGATGAACGTGTTCCGCGTTATCTTTATTATGACACAAAGACTTCGCATACGTAGCGCTACGCCTGAATGCGTGGGAGTTGGTACGAGCACTTGGTCGTTCCGAGTGAGCTGCGCACGGAAAGTTCCATCCCGACTGATACATTGATACTTCGCTAAGTATCCGTTCACAACAACTTGAAGGCGCATAGCGCACGCTGTAGGTACGCTACGAGGACCATTCTTTGGTTTTGAACTCCCTGTGTCGAGCGCTATGCATATCGAACGAAACACGAAACTCTGTCAAAAACATCAATGGTCGATCCACCTCGCTGAGTGAGCGGCTTGCCCTCATCCTATCCGGATAACACCGTCCGGATAAAATCGGAACGACAAGCACATTCTGTCGACAATAGAAAATGTCCAAACAATTCAATGCTCAGAGCCTCCCTCCAGGCATCAACCCACCGCTTCGTACGAGTACAGCGGTAATAGGTGTTCATTACGCACTTGCATTCTTTCTGACTGCGAAGGGACAATCTTGTCAACAGCAACTATAATTCAGTAACTTTAGTATCGCAAGCCTTGCCGTAGTCGTTCAGTCGCAGGACGCTGGACGTAATATGTGCACCACGACAACCATTTCCGCGTAGTTCACATCTGAATGGACTCATTGTAACGACACAGCGCCGCCCGTCCTGGCCCACTACCATTTTCGTTCGCACATTTTCCGTGTATCACCTCCACCCTAGTAATATTACTACCCTACAGCCCTGGTCCATTGATTATCAATATCGCATCATAGCGCTTGATTGCGAGTCCTATTCATGCGTGGGCGACCTTTAGATCGGAAGATACGAGAGATTGTCGATCGGTCTTGGCGGGAAAACCGAGAAACCTCTGAAATCAAATACTTCGAATATCAAATACTGGAGTGCCGATCTTTGGCAGCCGGCCATTTTGCGATCTTCCGGGCCGACACCACTGCAAGCATGGACACACAGGACAAGGAGAACTGCCCACCGGAAGCGCGGGCGATGCACGCGATGATCCCCATCGGACCGAAGGCGACGGCCTCGAGCCGCCGGCAGGCGCTCCAGGTGCTACCGCCCCAGCCGACAGCGCATGTCCGGGCCATTCCCCGTCCTGTACGCTCTAATGACGGCTGTCCATAGAGCCCCGCTAGCGAACGACCTAGCAGTACCACCAGCAGCGGCAAGAGCAAGAAGCGGACTGTCGATGGCAACGCGAAACCCGATGTCAAGATCGAGCCCCTTGTGGTAGCATCGTCCTGTTGGGTCATGCATGATCGACTGCAACACGTAGGTTCCAATCGCAGCGCAATCCGTCATGGACTACCCTCGGGCTCCGTCCAAGAAGTTCAAGACGACGGACGCGTGGAAGGAGCGATCCTACGTCTCGATCTTCGACATGACGTTTGTCGACCACGACGAATGCATGGCGACGCTCAACTCGTTCCTCATCGCAAACGGCGTCGGTGCCACGGCTGTCGGGAAGCAATATATGGCCGAGGTGCACGTGGGAACCACGTTCCAGTGCTGCACGCGCCAAGCCCCATTTTTGGTCGGTCTTGGCGGCATTGCCTCGACGCACTGCCCGTGGACCATCGAGATGAAAGTCGACTGTGCGTCCCGGCGCTGGCGCATTGTGCGATCGTTGTCGCAGCACAACCACCACGTTCTTTACCCGAATGCACAGCCCATCTACTCGTTCTACAGCTCCATGCCGCGGGGCCCGTGGGCGAACCCGCTCGTTGCCGAGACCGAGATCGACGACTGGTGCCGACAGCGCGGCTTTGCGGTCGTCTTCAACCCCGCAGCGTCGACTGGAACGAGCTACATGCTGTCGTGCCAGTGCAACTGCGCGTGGTTTGTCTTTGTCCATTACAGTGCCAACGACGAGCAATGGCGGCTGTACCCTGGCAACCTCGTGCACAACCACGCCGTCGCCGTTCCGCTCGGACCGTATCCGAGCAAGGCCGAGTGTCTCGGCGCCGTCTTGCAGTGGTGCGCCGCACAAAACGTTATGGTGGCGACCAACCGTCTCTTCCAGGACGTCCACGGCCGGAGCGTGCTCGCAGTGGTCTGCACCGAGGACGCCACGTGCCCCTTCCACGTCCGCATCGTGCCCGCGTCGCCAGTCGGCTGGCGCATCCACATCGTGTCCGAGAGCCACGAGCACCTCGATGACCACCACGAGAGCGTGTAGCTGTTAGGCTCCATTTTTGCGTCGGCGATTTTTCTTTCAATTTATGGTTTCCTTGGGTACTGCGAGATCGGAGCCTCATGCATGACGCCCGTCGAGCTCGTTGCGACGGATGATCTGCGCAATGTGCGCAAGGACAGTTGCGTCTTTCGGAATCTCGTTCTGGCGCAAGTCGAGCGTCACGACCTTGAGGTTGCGCTCGAGCCCTTCGTGCAGCGCAGTCGCGTCGCCTTCGGTCATGCTGTTGCCACTGAGGTCGATGATCGTGAGCGGACACTCGGGGTCCAAGAGGAGGCCGCAGAGCGCTTCGGCGGTCTCACGCCCGAGTGCGTTGTTGCTCAAGTTCAACATCGTGAGCGACCGGTGGCCCACGAGCCCTTCGAGAAGCAGCTTCCCGCCTTCGTCCGTGAGCCGGTTCAGGCGCAAATTGAGCTCGACGAGACTCGTGTTGCACTTGAGGCCGCGCGCGAGGTACCGCCCGCCCTCGGCGTGGATCTGGTTGTCGCACAAGTTCAAGCTCGAGATGACCTAGCCACTATACATGTAAGAAACGCGCACCGAGCGATATAGCGTACCGAAGTGGGCACGAGGAGCTTGGCGAGAAGTCTCGCGCCGTGGTTGGTGAGCTTATTGTGCGAGAGGTCGAGCGTCGTGATTGTCGCGTTCTTGATGAGACCCGTCATGAGCATGCGCAGGAGGTCGTCGTCCAGGAGGTTGCTCGGCAACAGCAGCGTCGAGAGCGTGATCGTCGCCTTGATCGCATGCGAGAGCGCAGTCGCGTCCGAGATCTTCATGCCAAAGAGCATGCGCTCGTACTTCATTCCGATCTGCTTGACGCCGTACGAGAGCTTGAGCTTGGTGAGGTTCGGGAGGCACTGAAAAACCTCGTGGACGTCAATGTGCGAGAGGAGCTGGTCAATCTCAAGCGAAAAGATGTATGGCGCACACGCTCTGATCGTCTGGAGCAGATCGGCGTACGTTGTAGAGGCGTCCGTCGGGTCAAAGCCTTCGAGCGTCTCTTGGATCGTGCGCTCTAGAGTGCATAGTAAGGCAGCGATCGAGCCTGATACGGTGACGCACCCATGTAGAGTTGCTTCCACGTCAAGCCATGCAGCGAAATCTGGAGGTTGGTCCAGCCCGGATGGTGCAAGCAGCAGCGCTTCCAAAAATTCTCATCGTGGATATGAGGCGCCGTTGCCGTGAGCGGCAGGTCCATTGGCAGGCGCTGCGTCACTTCGGGCAGGAACTTGGCAGGAATGCCTTGCATCGGATTTGCCTTGGTGCTGAACTGCGCCGTGAGCACCTTGACGCAGAGGATGACGAGGCTGTCGAGGACGCGGCGCGGCTTGCCTTGCTTGTTGTTGCTGCTGTCAACATGCTGCAGATGATGATGGTAGTGGTCCTCTGTGATCGACCGCGCCTTGTACTTCTTGACCTGGTCTGAGAGCGAGCACACGGCTGTGGTGGACCCGACGCTTGTCGTCGCCAGCATGGTGCAACTGATGACCAAATTAGAAATACGACGTCTGCGCAACCGCCACGTATTCTTCACGCGTGAAAAATGCAAAAAATGCTGTCGGCAAATTTCACACATGCTCGAATTTTGGCGCGACGCTTTGTCAGTGCTTGTGGAGTCGCAGTTTTGGAATGCTCGGGCACCAGTCGACCAAGTACCAGACCTTTGCCGACGCCGAGAAGGCGACGACAACGCACCCGCTGGAGGCTGCCAACTGGGCGGCGAAGCTGCTCTTCTCTTGGGCAGCTCCGCTCGTGCCACTCGCCAACAATCGCCCGCTCGAACCCGCAGACTTGTGGCCGCTGCAAGCGTCCAGCAAGGTGCACACGGCGGCCGCCAACTTTGACGCCGAGTACCACGTGCATGGCCAGAGCATTGTGAGAGCGTTCTTTGCCGTCTTTGGCAAGCGCTTTGCGTTGATTGGCGCGCTCAAGCTGCTCGCGATGGTTGCGGACCTCGCGCCGCCCGTGCTGCTCTACCTCATTCTACGCACGCTGGCAGCACCGTACGAGATGCAGACACTACTGCTCTATGGCGCCAGCCTCGTGCTCGCGTACATTGTCAAAGCGTTTGCGCGGGCGCACGTGGTGTTTCAAAACGCGGTCGTCGGCATCCACTTGACATCGGCGCTCCGGCACATGCTCTTTGAGAAGGCGCTCGGAATGCACTCGAGCTACGTTGTCTGGGCGCAGGAGCTGAGCCCAACGACGTTCTCGACCGAAGTGATGCAAGTTGCAGACATCGCCTTGCTCGTGCACCGGCTCTGGCTGCTGCCACTTCACCTTACTGTGGGCATGGGTCTGCTCTACTATACGATGGGATCGGCGCTGTATGCTGGCATGGCTGTCGCGTGCGCATTGCTTCTGCTCCACGGCCTTGTGACAGCGTGTTATAATGCGTCGGCCCACAGCGCGGTGCACTCGCAGCACATCAACGCTCGCATGAAAGAGCTCCACAAGGTCCTCTCCAACATGGAAATGGTCAAGTGGAATGGCTGGGAACATGCGTGCGAGCGAGCCGTGCTGCGTCTTCGCGACGCCGAAGAAACCGCGCTCGGGCGGCATCTGCGGTTTCTCTGGCTTTCGAGTACCCTCTTGTACGTCCGTTGGCCTTTGTGTGTATGTGTTGACGGCGGTGATGTATACATAGGGCCTGTGCCCCGGCCTTGATCGTCCTGGCGATCTTTGTCGCGCATTCGATCCTCTCGCCGGGCCACTGGCCTGCGACGCTGGTCTTTCCGACACTGGCGCTCGTGCATCTTTTGCAGGCACCGTGCGCACTCTTCCTCGAGACGGTACAGGCCATTCTCCTCGCCTGGCGCGCGCTCCAGAGCATGCAGTCGGTGCTGCTCGTCGAGCAAGTCGACGACACGAACGTCGTCACGGTGGCCGATCGCAACGCGGCCAAGTACGCACGAGATCACACGGTCATTGCGATTCACGACGGCACATTTCATTGGCACCGCGATGCGCCCAGTGTCTTGAGCAAGGTCCGGCTCCGCGTCACGCGCGGCGACTTTGTCGTAGTCCACGGAGCACGGGGCACGTCATCGCTCTGCGCGGCGATCTTGGGCGAGATGCACAAGGCGTCGGGAACGGTGTTTCTCGGTGGCTCGATTGGCTACGTCGCCCAAAAGCCGTGGGTCCAGCGCCTTCTGAGCATCCGCGACAACATCCTTTTCGGCAAGGCGTACGATCGTGTCAAGTACCAGCGCGTCATCGACGCGTGCGCGCTCAATATGGATTTTTTGACCTTTCCGCTCGGCGATCGCACCGAGCCCGTGCTGCAAGGACCCAGCGCCAAGACGGTCGTGCTCTCGCCAGCCCAGGAGGCGCGCATCAGCCTCGCCCGCGCGTGCTACAGCGACGCCGACATCTACGTCGTCGACAGTGTCCTCGCGGCCATGGACGCCAACGTGGCAGGCCACATCTTTCGACATTGCTTTCTCGGTGTCCTTCTGCACAAGACGCTTCTTCTGGTCTCGAACGACCCCGAGATCATTGGCTCCAAGTACATTGATGCCACCATTTGTGTCGATGACGACGGTAGCGTCACGAGCGCACTCAACTCCACCCGTGAAAAGCTACCCAAGTCACCGATTCGGCGCAAGAAGAGCCAGAAAGACCACACCAACTTGGACGTTGTGTCGTCGCCGCCACTACCGACGCCGCCGCGGCGAGTCCCGTCGGGCCCGATGGCGTCACCACCGCTGCTCGTGCCGCAAGTCGAGCTGACGCCGATCGCAGCCACGTCCGCGGCCTACGTCTTTACGCCCAAGGAAAAACGCGTCGCCCACATTGACGAAGCGACGCAGGTGCGCCGTAGCCTCGTGCTATCCAGTGAAGACGACGGACTGCGGAGCCCCCACCGGCGCGTGCCGTCATCGGTCGTAGCGGCGTACGTGGATTGGCGCCACCGGCGCGGCACAGGCCTCGCGCTGCTCGGATGCGTGCTGCTTGTGCAGCTCTTCCGCGTCGCCAGTGACCTCTGGCTCACCCAAGTGGCCTTGCCGTTCAATGGCGACGACACATGGCTACCACGGCAGCTAAACACTTTGAGTGACAAACTCGGCGGGCTCGAGCTACGAGTGGTCGTCTACAGCGGCCTTTTGCTCACAAGCGTGTGCTGCGTGAGTGCCCAAGCCTACCTCGTTCTCGTGCTGGCGCGCGCCGCCGCCACACGCCTCTTTCAGCACCTTCTGCACCGCGTTTTGCGGGCGCCCTTGGCCTTCTTTGACACGTACCCGCTTCGTCGCCTCCTGACTCGGTTCCGTGACGACGTGTACATTTGCGATGTCCATATGCTGTATGCGCTCTCGCCCATCCTCGTGTTTACCTCGACGCTCTGCGGGACGCTTTTGACGGCGACGGCGCTGCTCCAAGTGCTCGGCGTCCTCCTCCTGCCGTGGGCCATTGCTCTCTGGCAAATCGCGCGCGACGCGATCTTACCCGTGCGGGAGCTCCAGCGATTGATGCAGCTGACACAGGCGCCGCTGAGCACGCTTGTCGCTGCGTCCGTCGAAGGCAGCGTCACGATTCGAGCGTTCGGCAACAAGCAGCTTTTGCGGTTCTATCACCTCCACCACGAGAAGATCGAGGCATTTGCCCAAGCCCGTTTTGCGGCGACCGCGGTTCATGCTCGGACGTCGTTGCACTTGCAGCTGCTCGCGGCCGGGCTCCAAGCGACACTGCTCCTCGGTGCCCTGCTCGTTCGCGGCCAGTACAGCCCACCGGTCATCGGCCTCCTCATTACTTATAGTCTCGCGCTGCCCGTGCACTTGGACTGCATGGTGCACATGCTAGCGGCCCTTGAAACGTGGATGAGCGCGCCCGACCGGCTTCTCCTCGCAGCGCAGCTCGAAGACGAATCGCCCGCGGATGCTGCGACGACCTATTCGTTCCCCAACGGCCGCATCACATTCGACCACGTGGCCCTCGCGTACAAGCCCAACGACCCGAACGTTCTCAGCGACGTCTCGCTGGTTATTGCTGGCGGTGAAAAAATTGCGTTCTTCGGGCGTCCCGGCGCTGGCAAGTCGTGCATCGCGTTTGTCCTCTTCCGCCTCTATGCACTCGTCGACGGCCGCGTCTTGATCGACGACGTTGACGTGGCCGATGTGGATGTCATATCGCTGCGAAGGTCCTTGGCCATCGTGCCTCAGTACCCGACGTGGCTGCATGCAACGGTGCGCGGGTTCCTCGATCCTGACAGCCTCTACCTCGACGACACGGTGGTTTGGGCCGCCCTGGAGCGCGTGTCGTTAGCCGGCGCTGTTCGAAGCGTTGGCCTCGATACGCCGATGGACGGCGACCACGTCTTCTCGCTTGGCGATCGGCAATTGCTCTGCCTTGCACGTGCCATCTTGCGCCAGGCCAAGATCCTTGTGGTCGACGAGGCGTCGCCAGAGGTCGAGGCCACGCTCCAGAGGGTGCTCGCCGAGAGCTTCGCTAGCGCCACCGTTCTCGTCATGACGCAGCACAGAGAGGTAGCGCTGCGCTGCGACCGCGTCGTGCTCATGGACGGCGGTGACGTTGTCGCTGTGGGTTCGCCGACGGACCTCCTTCCTGTTCCACAACCGGCGACGTGACAGTGCCATTCGAAAATCCCATAAATTGCCGTAAAATACACTATAATTCCGTATTTTAGATGGCGACTCCGCAGGCGCTTCCACTCACGCGCACGTTGCGACGGCGACAGCGCCCTCCTCGCGCATAGCGCGTGTAGCGTGGGCAGAGGGCGCCCACCCAGGTCCTCTCGTATTCGATTGCGCGGATCCGACTATAAAAACGCAGATATCAAGTGCCAATTTTAATAAATAAAAACGTCGCCGGCCTCATTCTTGCCAAAAGCTCAAGCTCGTGATGGACGACTGCGAGCTGAGCCGGCTCCTCGGGCTCTTCGGGGACCGCGTCGCCTTGACGGGGACCGAGCAGGAGCCGCCCCGGGGTAAGGCTCCGCCGACCAAGACGCCAGCCCACCGGGTCTCGTCCTTCCATGCGGCCGAGCCGAGCCGCTGGTACCGCGAGACGACGCCCGACGAGACCCTTGCGACGCTCCGCGAATTTGCGACCGTCCTGAGCAAGGAGCAAGACTGGGTGCATATGCGCAAGCGCAATTGGGCTCAGGCCAAGGAGATGGCGCCGCCACATGACGACGCGCCGTCCGGGCCCAGCGTCGACGTGTACTTTGACGAAATCCATCCCAGGGAGTGGCCGCATGTGCCAGGAAAGGACGTGCATGCGTGGGACCGGTCGTTCGACGCATCCCACGACCTCCAGCTGCAATGCGCGGCCAAGCTCCTCGCGCTTCCTCCGGGTGCGCTGCGCTACGAAGCGATCGACCTCGACGCCTTTATCGCTGACGTCTGCGCGTACATGACGGCCTCCGGCATACCGATGCGCTACCCGTACGAGCCCATGGTCGACGCACGTGGGACATGGAGCCGCGCGACGTGGCATGCGATGCTCGTGCTGCTCGCGCTGGCCGTGCACCTGCAGTCGTCGTCGCTCCTCCAGTTTGTGGCCTTTACGCTGCTCCATCTCGGGGCGTCCTGCGACCTCACCGCGCTCTCAACCGTCGACGAGCATGATGTGCTGCAGCAGATCTTGCGCCCCCTCGCGACGTTTCCCAACAACGACAGCAACGCGAGCCCGAACCGTCGATTCCCGTGCCTCGCGCTGCCCGTGCCCCGGTGTCTCGTCGGGTCGTGGTCCATCGATGCGTCAATGCTCTCGATGCGCGATGCGTTTGCAAGCGACGGACGCTTCTTGTACATCTTTTGCCGCGCCGGCTTGCTCAAGGTCGGGACCGGCGCCGGCGACACGCTGCGCAACGTGGTGTATGCGCGCAACGCCGAGTACGTGCGCGGCGCCGACGTCGAGCGCGCGTGGCTGTGCCTCGTCGGCAACCACTTGTACTGCCGCACGATCACGATGCCGGGTCTCTGCATCGACCGCATCAGCCTCGACCTCGTTACCATTGCGCCGCTCTTGCTCTGCGCGGCCAAAGACGGCGTGACGCCGAGCAGCGTCTACGCACTCGTCTCGGAAGGCGACTACCTCTACGCCATCACGTGCAAAGACCCGCTCCAGGCGCACAAGTCGCCCATGCCACCGACATTGCACCGGTCCAAGCACGCGAAACGCAAGTCGGAGAAGGCGTTGCAGATCGGTACGCCCTCCGCTCTCCCTATCTTTTCGTTGACGACATATTGTCTAGTGGACCTCAACCCGATCGCAGTCGGGAACCGTGTCGTGCGTGGTCCGGACTGGAAGTGGTCCAACCAAGACGGCGAGCCGGGCAGCGTCGGGACCGTCGAGCGCATCTCGACGTGGGGCGGCGTCAAAGGCAGCGGCATTACCGTGCGCTGGGACAAGAACCAGCGCATGAACACGTACCGGTGGGGAGCCGAAGGTTGCTTTGACATCCAGATTGTCGTTGAAGATGCCGACGGCCGCATCATTGCGCACACGCCGCTCGTGCGCCCGATGACCGACTACGCGTCGCCGCTTCTTGCAGCGTTGGCGCCATCGCTGAGTGCGTCCCCGCCACCGCTCATCGTCGCGCAGTACGACGTGTCAACGCTGCAGCGGCTCGTCGATGTGAGCGAAGCCGACTTGGTGCCGATGATGGGCGCCGGGCAGGACCTCACGCCATTGGATTTCGAGGACGCGCTGTCGGCTCCGCCGGCCATCAAGACGTCGCTGCATCCGCACGTGGTCGGCGAGTGTCTCTCGAGCTCCGACTGGATGTGCGATGGCGGCGTCGACGGCTGCTGCGGGCAGTCGATCCCGCGCTTTCGGTGCATGGACGGCTGCGACTATGACCTGTGCCGGCACTGCCTTACGTCGACGCTCGTGCTCGAGAGTCCGCCGCTCCTCGACGCCGACGACATGCTCCCCTTTGCGCTCGAAGGTAGGAACGCTCATACGACTGCCAACTCGTGGTTGATCCTTCGCCATGTGTAGACGACACGTTCTTTGCCGTCGACGCCGTCGCCGACCATGACCGACTCGTGCACGAACTTGAGGCCGCGTGGCAAGGCTGCTTTAGCAAAATCGAGTGCAAGATTGCGCTCGTCAAGCACGAATACGATCTTACGGCCGCGCACGAGTGGCTTCAATCGTCTGGCGAATCGTACCTGCGCGAGCCCCGCGTCATCCCGATCGTGCGCTCCTTCTCGCTCGACAGTGCTGTCGCGGCGCTCGACCCGGTCGTGCTCATTGCAGGCTCCTTTTACACGACGGGGACGCAGCTCGGGATCGTCCTCCCGGGCGGCCTCTGCGGCGACAGTGGGAAGAAACGGCTCCTCGGACGACGTGCGTCCCACCGCCAAGGCGATGCGGTCTTGCTCTTCGCGCTCTCGGATGGCGCAGCCCTCGGCGACCTCACGCCTGTCTCGGACATTGCTGCCGGGTCGCCCATGGCTTATGACCGCGCACGCGATCGACTGCTGGCGTACTCGACGAGCAGCCATGCGCTCATGGAGTACATGAACATGGAGCATGCGGCCCCCGAGCTGTCGGCCCCAAACGCGTTCGAGCACGGGAGTGACGTCGGTCGCGCAGTACTGTCGCACCTCACACGCATCATGGGCATCCGCACTGTCGTGGCGCCGATGCAGCACCCGCGTGCGACGCTGGAGCTGCACGTGCAGATCCTGAGCGCGAATCCAACAACCACAAAAGCCAAGCGCCGTCAGCTCAAGAAGCTTCTCGCCCGCTTTGGCGACATGCCTCTTGATGCGGCCGTGGGCTACGTGGTCCCGTTCGTTCTGGACAAGGCGCCCGTCGCTGGCCTTGGTGCCTACCTCTGCAACGCAGTGGATGCAAATTGCGACGGAGCCCTCCTCAACGCGTGGCTCTACCTGCTTGTCGGGACACTCGAGGAACACATGCCGGCCAATGTCCCCCTCGACGACGTCCATTTGCCGCAACTCGAGGCGCTCCTCTTGGCCATTGTTCGCGGCGACGCCACGTGTGATACCTTTGACAGCGACGCTACTCAGACCCGCGTGCGCTTGGCCCAGCGAGCGCTTCTCTGGGGTCTCGTGCACGGTCTCTTCTTCCAGACGCCGGACGCATTGCAGTGGCTTCTCGGGTCCTTGGCGGCGTCGGTGACCCTCGATGCGACGTACTGGTCTTTCATGGCGCTGACGCCGCTCGGTCGCCCGGTGGACGCGTTTGCGACGCCCAATGATGCGATCGTGAGCTTCCTCGGCAGTGTCTTTCGAACGGTGGCTGCGTCGACGCGCCTCGTCACGCGTCTCTTTCAGAGCACGTCCTTGGATTGGCTGCAGCACATTGTTGCGCTCGATCGGCGCGAAACCGAGCACGTTGTGCGGTCGACGATGCCGAGCATGTCACCGGCGCAGCGCGTGCTCTTCTCAACGCTCGCGTGCGCCCTGCGCGCGAATGACACCCATGACGGTATCCTCACGGCGCTTTTGGACCACTGCCTTGGGCATCTGCAGCAGCACGGTCTTGACGGCCTCGACAGCTCGATTGTCGGGACGCTGCTGCCGCTGTTGGTGACGGCGATGCCTCTCGAGAAGGCGCATGCAAGCTTACCCGCGCTCCAAGCACTGCTGACTGCGCTCGATGTGGCCACGGCCGCCGACGCGACCTGCCAAGCAGCAGAGACCGCGTTTGGCGCGGCGCAACGCGGCGCCTTTTTTTCGTACGTCGACACGGTCGAGAGTGCACACCCGTACGGCGTCGGGATCCCGACGTTCCGGAAGACTGTGTCGGCACCAGGCGCCTCGGCGCTGCGCTGGCGCTTTGACGCGCACTCGAAGACGATCAGCAGCAGCGACTTTGTACTTGTGACGCCCAACGCCCACGTCGCGCTGGACCGCATTCGGGCCGATGACGCACTCGATGGTGTGTTTGCGTCCGGGCACAGTGCGCGCTGGTCGTCGCTGAGCGTTGGTGGCGACGGCGCCAGTGTCTACCTCTGCGCGACGTCACATCCCCGCGACCATTTGGGCCAAGAAAAGCAGCGCTACGGCTTCAAGGCGACGGTTGACGCGTACTATGAGCTGTCGCTTCCGTCGGCCCTCGCGCTGCAGCACGCCGTCGCGCACCTCTGCAGTTTCGTGGCGTTTGCGGGGCTCAAGGCCGAGACCGCGGCTTTGCCGAGCGTTTTGCTGGACGCACTCGGACCGCTCCGGAAATCGCGAGGCCAATACGAGTGGCTCGTAGCGCAAGAGGCGACCGGCGGTCTGGCGTCACTCGAATCGCGCTATGGTCCGATCTCGCTCAAGCCCCAGCGCGACTGGCACGCCATGGTGCTCGCGTGTTTGGCGCTTCTGGTCCGTCCGGCGCAGTGCGAACGCACGATGCGGCGGGCCATTGGACGCCTCGTGAGCTTCCAGCGGTGGGTGCTGCGGCAATCGCAGCTCGAGAATGAGTGGCAGGCGTGGCTCGAGTCGCCTCTGTCGCGCGACGAATTTTTCGACCGACTCGGAGGCAACGAAACGCTGCTGAACGAGCTCTGTGTGCTGCAGTCGTGTCCGACTCGGACGCCGGCCGCGCTCTTTGAGCACCTGGCACAAGCTCAGGCCGCTGGGATCGCACCGCTGGTGCCGCTTGCGGAACGGGTCCGGACGCGCGTCCTCGCCTTGCTACAGCTCCCAGTGTACGACGACGACGCGCCGGATGAGGACGCAGTGCTGGACGATGGAGCGCTCGATGCGATCCTCACTTTGGTGCAATTTCCGTCCGACGCGATCAATGTCGTTGACGCCAAGGCCGCGCACGAAGCACTTGCATCGCGTCGCCGGTAGGACTGCCTTTCCATCTTGGTTGGATACCACGCTGCTCTGTAGGGACTGCCTCGGGGTGATTGAGCATCTGCTTTCAAGCGTGCAGAGTCCGAGTACGCAGCGCTTCTTCACAGGTCGACTTGCAACGGCCCTCGGTACTGCGACCTCGTGCGTCTCCATGCTCTCGGGGTGTGAGCTGTGCAGCGCCGTCAACCGAGCCGCCGTCCTTGACCAGTACGCTTGACAAACAAACGTTATCGGATGCGAGACATGCAACTAGATGGCAGCGACTGCAGCGCGTGCTGCTCACAAAGATGGACGCCCCGTCGACGCCCTTTGCCGACAAGGTGCTGCTGAGTGTGGACTTGGTGCTACTGGGTACACCGTCGCTCCGACAAGTCCTTCTCAACGTGCTCGCCGAGTCGCCGAAGAGCGCGGACGCGATACTCGATGGAATGTGGCCCGCCACTGCGCCCGTGGCTCTTGAGCGCGTCGCGTTCCTCCAGCAGCTGCGCGACGTGCAGTGGCTGGCTTTGCGCCACGTCTTTGTCGCAGGGGCGTCGATGGAGGCGTGCAAACCTCTCGTGACGGGACCTTGCGACGCAAGCCGCACCCTCGGGATCCTCGAAGCGCTTGCGTTGGCCGACTCATCGCCGCCGCCGGCTTGGCTCGTGCCCACGCTGTTGGAGCATCTCTTGTCGCCTGAGAGTGCGCCGCGCGTGCAAATGACCGCGTGTCGGATCCTCAAGCACCTTGGCGTGGTGCCGCCGCCCGCGGTTGTGCGTCGGCTGCTCCACTTGCTCGGAAAACGGCTGGCCTCGGCGTCGGCTGACCCGGCCCTGGCCGAGACGATGACGTTTGGTGTCGTGCTCTTTTGGAACAATGATACTAGCGACGCGCTACTCGAGCTCGTCGACGGGCTTGGCGACACGATCAAGCCGCCCCACGTGGCGTCCTGGGATGTGGTCGTCAACGTCGACAGCATGGCCAAGCAAGAGGAGCTCATGAAGGACGCGTCCATCGTGCACCGGTATGTCTTTGTCATCTCTGGACACTGTCGATATACCTTGCGCATAGGAATGTGCGCTGCGATGGCTGCAACCAAAGCCCGATCGCCGGGTACCGCTTCAAGTGCTCCATTTGTCCCAACTACGACCTCTGCGCCGGTTGCTACCTCGCCAAGACGCATGACGTCGACCACGCTTTCTTGCGCTTTGCCGACGTTGCGGGCGCCGGCGACTTGCTGCCGCCTCGGGCGTCCACTGCTGCCGTGGCGCTGGTGCCCGACATGGCGCTTGTCGGCACACACGTCTGGAAAGCGTCGGCGCTTCTCTCGGAGCTGATGCGGAACGGCCACGTCGTTCTTCTCGCCGACGTCGCCGTTGCGGACGCCGACGCGCTCCTCGATGCGATTCAGAGGTTACCAACGAGCTTTCTTGCGGGCCGCGCGCCCCAAGCGCAGCTCGATGCGTGGCGGGCACTCGATGCCACGGACGCCTTTGTCTTGAACCGGGCCGCGCCCCCGCCAATGACGATCGATTCGTGCAAGTACGCGCTCGAAATGGCGTCCGAGATCGTTGCACTTGCCCGGCCGTGGGTGACGCACGCGTCCATCAAGGACGTTGTGCTCCAGAGCCTCCGGTGCATCTCACGGCTGCTGCGCGACCCAAAGCTCGGAACGTCGTACTTTGAAGCGATCGGCGCGCTCGCGCTTCTCGGCGGCATGGACGAGCCGGTGCGCGTTGGCGGCTATGTGACGCTGCACGACGCGCGAGGTTGCCTCCAGCACGTTGGCGTCGACACGGCCACCGTCATCTTTGGGGCTCGCATGGAGACCAACGTTCCGCTATCCGCGCTCGTCGTTGTGCCCGAGGTGCCGCTGAGCCAAGCGATGGCCGATGCGATGGAGGATGCGATGGGCGCACTGGCCAGCGCGACGCAAGAGAGTATGTCGGTGGTTCGAGGCGACGATGCCCTCGCGCACGAACTGGCCCAGCGCACGCTCCACGCACTCTCGGCGCTCTTGCCGTTCTGGCCGTCCGTCCTCGACAACCAAGCAATCGCGGCGTACGGCGCCATGCCGCACGCATTGTTGCAGCTCGCGCAGCCATCGTCGCAGCGCACCGAGTTTGTCAACGAGCACCTCGCGGCGGCGCATCGCTTGGTACGACTGTCGCACTGCGCCGCGAACGCTCACGATCGACGTGTAGGCGTGGACGTTTGTGCGGGGACTGCACCACGTTGTGGCGCTCGGGCCGTGTCGCAAGAGTGTCTCGATTCCCATGGCGCTCACCGACCAGACGCGGCTGCAAGAGGTGTCGTCGAGGCTTGTCGTGCTTGTAAACTCAGTCGTCACTGCATTTAGGACGACGGCGACGAGCGGCCGTCGTATTGGTACAATGTGTACGCCTATGCGGACGTGGCGGACGTACTTCCCGTGCACCCGGGACGCAACAAGCTCCTCGACTACTGGGAGCGCTACGTGATTCCAGCGATTCAGAAATACGTCCGCGGCTCGTTCAAGTCGTATGAAATGGACTACTTTTTCGCGCAGCTCCGAGAGCCGCTGCGCGAAGGCAACATGGCCGCGGCGCGGCAGATCGCGCACACGCTCTGCGACGGCCACGTGCCACCCGGCTGCGTCTTTCCCGACACGGAGACCGACTGGAAGGCGCTGCAGATGGACGACCTCGTCGTTGGCGGACGCTACATTGTGCAGGCGCTCTCGGACCCGCTCGTGCCGGCCATGGCGTGGTGCCTTGGGCACACAGGCAGCCTCTGCACGATCGAAGCGACCAAGAAACTCGCGCTCCTGCAGCTCTACAACCCGGGGGCTGGCCAGCTCGAGCACTATTGGTTCCACGTCTCGCAGCTCCAGGCCGGTGACGGAAGCGAACCGAGTCGCTCGCTCTTGACGTCTGCTGTCATTGCGCGTCTTGTGGCGGCTCAAAAAGTTTCAATCGCGGCCATCGCGCGGCGCGCCGTGTGGACGATCGTGTCGCAGAGCCCCGAGTACGTGGCGTGGGCGACGCTGGGCCAAGGCTTCCCGCTCACGACCCTCTTGGACGTGGCGGCCACGGATCTTCCGGCGTGGACAGCGCCGCCGCGCGACCATCCGCTGCAAAAGGTGCTTCTGCTGCAGCACGCCAGTCTCAGTGCGACTGTCAAGCCTGTGAGCAGCAAGAAGGTAGCGACGCCGCCGACGCCGACGCCTGCCGACTTGGTCACGCACCTCACCGCGAGTCTCAGCGCATCGCTCGACATGTCGCGTGTCGGGTCATACCTCGTCACGAGCAGCTCGCCGCCCGATCCGCTCGTGTGCGTGTCGCTCCCGGGCGCGAGCTACTTGGTGCTCACGTTCATTGTGCACCCAGTGCTCATGGATCTGCCGGCGGGCGCGAGTTTGGAGGTGTATTACGACGCCGAGTGCCACCGGGTGGCGCGCGTTTACTATGGCGGGCGTCGTGGCCTCACCAACCTCCCGCCCCTCGTCGTCCAAGGCGATACGTGCTACCTTCGCACGCAGGCCGCCGAGTACGCACGTTACAAGCTGCGCGTCGACGGACTCTCGAAAGCGTTTGGTCTCGCCACGTGGCTCGGCCGGGTCTTGCAGCAGCTGCCGTCCGTGCCAACGACGCCGCTGGTTAACGCCTGGACGTCGTTTCTGAGCGCAAATCAAGTGCCGCCGCTCCTGGAGCAAGTCGCGTTCCGGTCCCTCGGGCCGTGGATGTCGCCAACGACGACGGTCTCGAGCTCGCTCATCAAGCAGTGGCTCGCGCAGTACGAGGCTGCGTACGGCAAAGAGAGTACGAACGCCATGTTCTCAACGTACACGCAGCAACTCACGGAGCTTCTCTCGACCTTGCCCCACACGTCGTCGGTGCCGGTGCTGAGCAAGTTTGCGCGGGTTGCCGCCTTTGCGGCGTCGCTCGCTTCCGACGTGCCCGGTCGCGTTCCGCATGTTGAAGTCCGCGCGCTCGCCGAGAAGCACCAGCGCGTCGACCTCTTTACGTCGCGATTGTTGCTGCTGCAAAAGCTGCCGCGGACGCGCGACCACGCGCAGCTCATCGTGGCGGTCACGAAATGGCTCACGCACATTGCGCTGCAAGAGTGCTGTGGCGAAGCCGACGATCCGAGTACGACTCTCTTGAGCAAATGCCATTTCATATGAGCCTATCGTAGGTATGTACTCGGCCACCGAGACGGTTCGGTTTGGCATTCTTGCGCGCGTGCTCTACTGCCCCGTCGATGCGGACGGATTTACAAAGGGCTACTGCGTCCTGGATGTCGGGCGCGACGACATTGTGCCCAAGCTGCAGCAGTGCATCCTCAAGCAGCCGCTTCTGTTTGAAGGGGACCCGACCGAGGAAGATACGGCGCTCATGGCCTACTTGGCCGAGACGACGACGAGCAACTCGGAATTGACGCCTGAGGCAGCGCCCGCGTCGACTATGTGGGTGTGCCCCGTGTGCACCTGCGACAACTGCGACGATTCGAGCGCGTGCATCGCTTGCGAGACACCCCGCGCGATGCCAACGTCATCGTCGTCGCCCGCGCCGCCGGTCGAAGAAGCAACCATCGACGGCTGGACGTGCCCCGCGTGTACGTTCTTTAATGCATGGGACAATACGCAGTGCTGCGTCTGCGATATGGCGTGCGACCAAGTGCGTCCGGCGGCGATCGAGCCGACGAGCGAGCCAAGTGCAGCGAGTGACGTCGAGGCGCCGGGCCACGAACACTTTGTGTCGGCGCTGCGCTTCCAAGACTCGTACGACGCTGGCGACGACCGCGACCCGCGGATGGCCGACTTTTTGGCGCACGTTCTTGCACAAAGAGGCGCGACGCCGGCGTCGGCGCGGCGCATCTACGAAAGCATGCGGGCGTCGGGGCTCGATCTGGAGGCCAACTGCAGTCACACGACATCGATCGAGATGGCGGTCGCAGCGCAGACCAAGTGGACGCTGGCGATGGACGTACAGCTGCTGGAGCTTGCGATGACGCAGTGCCGGCGGTTGGGGCTGCTCACACTCTGTGAACTCTCGCCGAGCCACTTGTGCAGCGTGGACGAGCTCAAGGTATCGCTGTGGGAACTCCGCCTCCGCTTTGCGCTCTTGCAAGAGTGGAACTTGTTGCTTCTCGAGACGCTGCCCCTCGTCGACCTCAAGGGCCCCGTGCTCGCCAAGCGCATCTTCGCTGCGCGCAAGCTGCTCTTTCCGCATGTCAAGATCAAGCTGAGCACCATCGTACACGATAACACGAGCACGTCCGAGACGCAGAGCAAGCGCCCGACCGTCGTGCTCGATCGACTCAAGTGGAAGCAGCACCCGGAGCTTGTCTCGCTCTTTGAGAGCACACGCCACCAGCTTGAAAAAGTCCCCGCAACGTCGCTTCGGGCCAAGCGGCCGCTCGGCGCGTCCGACCCGTTCATTGCGTTTGGGGTCACGTTCGCGGGCGAGCACGTGGTCGGCGACGGCGGGCCGTACCGTCAGCTCTTCAGCGACATGTCCTACGAGTGCATCCGACTTGGCCTCTTTGAGCCGACGCCCAACGGGCGCATGCAGACGGGCGAGCTGCGCGACTGCGTGCTTCCGTCGCCCGCCAAGACGTCGACCATCGCGCTCTCGCAGTATGAGTTTGTGGGCGTGCTCATGGGCTGCTGCCTCCGCACGGGCGTGCACCTCCCGCTGCGCGTCGCGCCGCTCATTTGGAAGCACTTTGTCCACGAAACGCCGGCGCTGCACGACCTCAAGCTCGTGGATGTCGCCGTCTACGAGCTGCTAACGTCCCCGCCGTTGCTCGACCAAGGCCTCACGATGACCACGACGCTCTCGGACGGCAGCAGTGTGGACCTCGTGCCGCAGGGCGCGTCGATGGCCGTCACTTCCGTACAAAGCACCAGTGGGAAAAGAGCTGACATAGTTCTGTGATCGTAGGCCAACTGGGCCGACTTTGTTGGCCGTGTGACGCAGGCGCGGCTGTACGAGTGCCAGTCGCAAGTGGATGCGATGCTCCGAGGCATGGCCAAGATCGTACCATTGACGCTCATCTCGCTCTATACGTGGGTCGAGCTGCGGCAGCACATTTGCGGTAGCCAAAACATTGACGTCGCCCTGCTCAAGGTAGATCCTGTGGCGACCTTGTGGGAGCTCATTGGTCATCTTGTGTCTAGCGTCATACCAAGTACGCCGGTGGCATGACGTGCGAGACTCATGCGCACTTGGAGTACTTTTGGGCAGCGCTGCTTGCATTCTCCGAGGCCGACAAGCGGCGGTTCATCAACTTTGCGTGGGGCCAAGAGTCGTTGCCGTCGGACGACGCTGAGTTTGACCGAACGCACACGCGGCTTCTCATCAAGCCGCCACCGACGTCGCATGCGCCGCAAGACTCGCTCTTGCCCAAGGCCGACACCTGTGCGTTGCAGTTGATCCTATGGATGGTGCTCATTTGCGCGGTAGGCTTCTTCAACCTCGAACTGCCTGCGTACTCGAGCCTCGAGATCATGACGGAGCGCCTCCAGACCGCGATCCAGCTGTGCACGAGCATGGACGCCGACGAACAGACGGGCGGGGCCATGGATGTGTATTACGAAGACGAAGACGAGTAGTGATTACGAAACGACTTCGAGGTCGGGGTACATCTCGTGGGTGTGGGCGAGCACCTCCTTGGAGACACTAGTCGCATCAATAAGCAAAATAGGTACCAACAACAACTACATCGTACTTGGTGTACTTGAAGTCGACGCGCTTGAGGCGCTTGGCGTCGCGCTGGCCGTCGTTGTCCATCTTGGCGAGCAGAAAGGCGTAAATGGCCTACACAGCACTACGCATCAAGACGAGCTTTGGGTCGACAAGCGTGTACGTCGTTGGTCACGGTCTTGACACCGCAAATGTCAAGTTCCTGGAGGTTGGCACAGTGCCGGGCGAGGTGGTCGAGAAGACGGTCCCTACGGCATTGTAAGACGCGGCTGGCCATCGTAGCAAGGTACGTGATGCGTGTGTTCCAGTGCAAATGCAGCTTCACGAGCGACTCTCTTCGCTGGAGGAGCGCAATGAGCGCGTCGTCCGAGACGCCGCAGTAGCCGACGCTGATGCTCTGCAGCTTTCTGCACTTGGCGGCAACGATCTTGAGCGTGCTACGACGAGGGAGTATAAGCCAGTGCATTTGGAGGGCGTGGATAAGTACTGGTCGGTCACGGCGTGGCCCGAGATGTGCAGTTTGAGAAACTTGGAGTGGTTCGGATGCTTCTCGACGAAGGCGGTGATGCCATCGAGCGTCATGTTGGTGTTGCCGCCAATGTCAATGCTGTGGAGCTTTGGGCACATCTCAATGAGAGCGCGCAGTGTATCGTCCGTGAGCTTGCGGCAGTTCTCAATGTTGAGCTCCTTGATGTCGCTGCAGTGCGAGAGGAGCACGCGCATGGAAGCGTCGGTGAGGCGGAAGCAGCCCGAAAAGTTGACCACGTGCAGCTTGGTGCAGACGCGCGCCATGCGCTCAATGAACGGCGTTGAGATGCGCGCGCCATTGATCTCGATCTTGGTCAAGCTCGGATGGAAGAAGCTTGTCGGGAGCGTCTCGTCGCCAAAGCGGCCGGTCTGCAGCACAGCGCGGATGAGCTCCTGCTTGGCCTTGTGCGTCTTGGTCCGCGCGGGGTCCGCGATCTTGTGCGCGCGCTCGAGGCTCGCGTCGCTAATGATCTCGGGCGCATACCGCTTGGAGAGGTACTTGAGCACGAGTTGCTGCAGCGGCAGCACGTCCCGCTGGAACGCCATCGATGCCGAAAATACCGTAAGGCTATTTCGGATCCCAAGATTAAACCGTATTAGTGTTCGATGAAGAAGCACAGTATTTATCATAAAATCCAGTAATACTGTGTGATGCTCTCGTAAGTACGCCTGGCTGTCACAGACATATCACCCTGCGCTCAGATGCAGAGGCTCCGAGAGCTCCGAGGCTCGTTGTTTGACGATGAACGCATACTGAAACTGCTGGCAACTTCAATGCCCTCAAGTGACCATGTCCTCGAGGACAGGTCTTCGTAGCGGGGCTGCCGACGCATAGGGTTGGCACCGATGATGCCCAGTCATTGGCTAAAATGCAGCTGTGCAAGCCCACTGCAAGCATCTTTAAAGCGATTTGATTGGTTATAACAAGCCAATCGGCGAGCACGTGGCGTGCTTTCATCCTGCCTCTTCCTCGGCGAGCGGCGATGAGCACGTCGTGGCAGCAGGTGCTCCATGCGATGCGCAACCCGAGCCGGAGCGACTTCTCGTTCCTGCCGCACACGTACATCCGGTCCGCGCCGCCCCGGCGCTCGTACTCGGCCGGCTCAGACACTGACGACGCCACTGAGACGACGCCCATCAACACGAGGTACGGGCACGCTGCTAGGTTAGCCACTCACGACCATACTAGGCAGCCCGCCCGCGTCGTCGACACCAAGTCCAGCTCGGTGCGCTACAGCGCGTACTTCTACTTGCTCGTGGTCATCCTCTCGAGCGCGTGGGTCTGCAACGAATGGGTTTACCAATACCCGCTGTCGCCCACGCGCCTCTACAACATTCAAGTCGACATGTTTGAGGGCCGTGTGAACCACGCCGCCTTCTTCTTTGAGCAAATGCTCGCGCTTGGCATGCTCCTCGGGGCGCTCTGCACGTTCAAGCTCGCCGACAACCTCGGGCGCGCGACCATGATCGAGCTCGCGGCGATCCCGTATGTGCTCGGATGGCTCTTTGTCGGCGTGGCCTTTGGCCAAGTCACGCTACTCATTGGACGTTATTGCCTTGGTATGGCCGTGTCTATCTTTACGATCGTCGTGCCTGTCTTCCTCGGCGAACTCGCAGAGGACGACAGTCGTGGCCGCGTGCTCTGCCTCTGCACATTTCTCGGACTTGTCGGTCGCTTTCTCTATTTGATTTTGGGCCAAGTGCTCATTTACCTCAGCAGCATCTACGTCGGCTTCAACTTGAGCGAGTGGAAGATCATGGCGACCCTCGGCGTCATCCCCGGGCTCCTTCTCCTCATCTGCATGCAGTTCGTGCCCGACTCGCCGTCATGGCTCCTCCTACGCCATAACGACCGTGTTACGGCCTTCAACGTCTGCACACGGCTCTTGCAGTCGGACGCGCTTGTGCAGTCCCGGGCTGAAGTCCGCGTCAACTCGATCCTGCATGCGGACGTGCTCTCGGCCCACGCGGGTCCCAAGAGCCTCCAGCGCGGCTTTGGCCGGCCCCTCGCGCTCGTCGCGGCGCTCTTTGTCCTCTCGTCGATTGCGTCGTCGCTGATTGTACCGACGTTGTACCCTACCTCGTCGCGCGCCTACGCGTTTGGTGTCCTCGGCATCGGGCTTAACGTCAACGACCTGCACCAAATGCTGCTCAGTTGTGCAGCCACGGGGGCTGCTGCTGTCGGCGTTCTCACGGCCACAGTGCTCATCGATGCTCAAGGCCGCATCTGGTGCCTCAAGGTCGGCGCCTTCATCGTGATCCTCACGGCTTGTCTTCTCCTCGGGTTGCGTATTCAAGCCGGGCCCGATGACACGCTCAACGTTACGGAGCCGGGGTCGGCGCTCCTGCTGCTCATGACCGCAGGCCACTACATTGGTCTTGGCGTCACGCCGCTCGTCCTTGCAAGTGAGCTTTTCCCGGCGCGCCGGCGTATCGCAGGCATGAGCGTGGTCGTGCTCCTTGCGTCACTCACTGCTCTCGTGACGGCCTATGTCCTCGATGGTCTGCGCTCCAGCGTCATCGCCAACTCGGTGCAGATGTTTCAAGGCAGCGTCGTGGCCATGGCGGCCGTGAACTTCCTCGCGCTGCTCCTGACGCTCTTTTGTGTGCCCGAGACGTGTGGCCGGTCCCTACAGGAGATCGAAGCTATCGTAAGCGGCTGGACGCCAACGACGCCTCCGATGCGGGGCGCCACGGCCGTCAACCTCCGCGTCCGCGTCTCGGCGTCCTATGGCACGGACCAGCATGTATAAGCAACATCGGCGGTCGCTCAAAACGAATAGTCCAACGCACAACGTGTTTCTGCGTCTTAAATGAGACCACTAGAAGTGATTGGTGGGGTTGCTTCCAGGTGGCGTCGTCGAGGCAGGCGGTTGGGGCGCCGACGAGGTTGAAGAGCTCGGTTGTGGGGACGTCGACGCGGGATTGATCGGACCAGACGATGGATACTCTGAGGCCAGTGTGGAAGGGACAGGCGACGGTCCAATCACGGATGCTGTTGTCGTCAAGCCCTGCTGTGTCGTGGCAGCATTCGCCGGAGCTGCAGTCGTCGACGTTGCTGGCGTCGGAGCGGAAGCCGCAGACGCCGTCGGCATGGGCGTTGTCGCGTTGCCTTGGCTCGCGGTCGTCGCCGCGGGTGTCATGTCGACCGTTGAAGGCGCGCTACTGGTTTGCATCGGCTGGTTCGGCGTCGGCGCTACGGTTGTGCTCATCGTAGTAACCGCGCTAGGTGTCGGAGACGGCGAGCTCGGCGGCGATGACGTTGCGATGGGGCTGACCGCAGGGGCTGTCGTGCTTGAAGGTGGAGCCGGAACCGACGTCGTTGGTGCAGAGGTCGCCGTGGACACATTGGTCTTCGTGACGGGGAGCTCGGAGGAAGAGACAGGGAGCGACGTAGGCGCCATCGAGTCATTCATGTTCGGACGAGGCGAGCTCGACGTCGATCCGGGGTTCATCGTCGTCGGAGTCGTTGTGTTTGGCAGACTCGGGGCGATCGAGACAGGCATCGACGTCGGACTCTTGGAGGTGGCTCCTGGAGAGGTCGAGTTTGCCGTCATGAAGGGTGTCGACGTGAGGTTCACGGTCGTCGTGTGTTGCATGCTCGGGGTCACCGATGGTGATGTCGAAGGTGTCGGACTAGCGCTCATCGTGCTCGTCGTGAGGGGAACCGGGCTCGTGTGTCCCGTTGTCGTTGTCGACGAGTTCGTCGAGCCCGGCGTCGGTGTCTTCGTCCGAACTCGCGTTGGTTGCGCTGTGGATGGTCCAGGGCTCGTCGATGCGTTCGTCGTCGCGGGTCGAGGGATCGGTGTCGTAGCATTCACCGAGCTCGACGATGTGTTTGATGTGGGTGTTCCTCCATGCGTCGGGATAGTCAGGACCGCGGTCGTCGCTCCGGGCGCTGGCAAGGGCGAGCGTGGGGGAGCCGTCGTCGCTCCCGGCGCCGGGAGGGGCGGCAGATCGGTCGTCGGCGCGAGGGTCGTCGTCGTCGGCCGGCAGCTGCAGCCAGCCGTCGGTGGCGTCGTCGGCCCGCAGTCGAGGAGCTCCATGGCGAGGGCCCATCCGAGGACCGCGAAGCACGCTGTGAGCTTCATCTTTGTACTTGCCGGCAAATTCGAATCTGCGCGTCAAACTCAAACTCAACTTGCGCGCGCATATCGCTCTTGTCGGTTTTCAGTATTTATTCGACAAATTATGGGCAACAACTGCTGCGGCGACGCGTCGTTTGAGCAGCGCCAGCGCCAGGCGCTACTGCAGGAGGGCCACGTCTTTCGGCGCAAGGCCGCGTCCTTCCTCGGGCTCTTGCCGACGGCCGAGAAGGTGCACGTCGCACTCAGCTCGGACGCCTCCTGGTACTTCGGCCTGCCAGGAACGAGCGCGTTGGCTCATGCCACTGGGCTAGCCTCGAGCTCAGGAGCTACGAGACGTCGTCGTCGTCGGCCACGCTGCGCTTGGGCAAGAAGAAAGAACCCAGCTCCGTACCGCTCTCGTCCATTGCCAACGTGCATGCCAGCGGCGAGCACCTCATCGTTCTCTTTGCGGCGGACGGCGCCAAGCTCGTTGAGCTCGAAGCGACGCAGATCGAGCTGCGCGACCTCTGGGTGCTGCTGCGCATGCCATGTAGTACAATATCCCAATATTCACGAAGGTTCTGTCGTAGGTGCAAACGCTTCGGGAGCTCATCGATGGCCGCGAGCCCGTTGCCGGCAATCTCCACGACGAGCTCGAAAAGCAAAAGCAACGCGACAAGGAGGTTCGCTCTGCTCCAACGAGTCGGTGCCAAATGAGCTTACTAGGCGTACTGGGCAGCACGGACCGCGGAGCTCCAAGCCCGCAAGGCCGCAGCCGACGAGAAGAAACAACCATTCGCCAACGTCGGTCTCAAGTACACGGCCCAAGCGATGCTGCAGCGATAAGCTCCTTCCAAGCAGAGACTGTATATTGATTCAATTCATATATATCTTCGCTACTGGGCTTTGGCGCCAAAGAAGCTCATGAGCGCTCGCCGCGTCGTCGTCGGCGTGCTGTCACGGACTTGGTCGCGGCCGCCGGCATTTGATGGCGAGAGGGGGTCCTTGGTTTTGCCTAGCACGGCGTTGGCGCCTGCAGTATCGAGATGGTCGCAAGCTTACCGTGGCGAGGACTCGTTGCTGCTGGCCGCTTCTCGGGCACTGCGACCGCGGCAACGTCGAGGCTGGATGACAGCAAACGCAAAAGCTCAGCGGGGCTCTTGTCGAGCTCGGCAACCACTAACGAGGGTCCCCGTACCTCCCACGTGCCGTGCCAGCCGTCGTCCCGCGCTGCAGAGAGCACGAGAAGAACGTTTTGTTTCCACTTGGTCGTCGTGAGAAAGTGAAACTACGACTCTCTAGCACCCTTCCCACACTCCGGGACGTACTTGAGCCCACTCGGGGGTCACGAGGTCGAGCCCGTCAATGCGCTCGATCTTGTCGTGCGCATCAATGAGGTCGTGCACCGCCAAGGTCGAGGACGCAGTGACGTTGTAGACGCGGTTGGCTACCGCACTAGCAGTTGGCAAGTCCTTAGATGCTAATACCGTGCGAGGTAGACGCGTACGATTGCCAGTGCGACTGGAAAGCCGCCGCGTCGCGCGAGCTCGGGCGTTGCAAAAGCGCTTCCAAAGGCATGGCGTAGGCGTCGCTGAGGCCCATGCGCAGCGGAGTCTCGCCTACGAGAGGTGCTCAGCCCCCGCGATGACGATACATCTACCTTCGTAGACGACGCGGAAGGTGAATTGGGCGCGGCCAAAGTACTGGAACTGAAACACCTTCTCCGAAGTGATGCTGCCGCTTTGCTTGAGCTCGTCAGTGACGCGCACGAGGGTGCTATCGGCTGTCCCCATCGATCGCACGGGTCCGTTGGCGCCAACGAGAATGCTACAAGAACGCCTGTGAGCATGCAGCTCTCACGCAAGTGGTCGACCTAAAGTTGGAAAACGCGATCGAACTCGCATTTACGATCGTGATGCCGAGCGCCACGAGCTCGGGCGCTTCCGACGGTTCGCGGAACGAGATTTGAAGGCAGAGCGGATCCATGGGCCCCGAGACGACGGTGCCGACGCTGCTCGAGGACGGCGCGTGGTGACGACGCACGCCTAAACTCAAACTGCATCAAATGCCAAACGGTGCGACGCAAACCTGTCGACGAGACTTGCGGAAATGTGGCCGACACGCTAAAGAGATCAGGCAAAATGCACACGGGCAGGGCGTCGAGGTCACGGGGTCGCGCTGACGAGCTCGAAACGTCCTCCATCGCTTGGTCCACTCTACACACCATCTGCATAACCTGTGCCGATTCAACGACGCAGCCACGTACGTTGCGCAAATGACGCGGTGCGTGGCGTGGCGCTGGCGCACGCGACCGAGAACCTGGAGGACCTCTTGGCTGAACGCGGGCTCTCGGGCCAAGAGAGCTTTCAACGAGAGGATGAGGGCAAAGAAACGAGCCAGATCGTGCGTCGCAAGCGGTCGTCGGCCCGTCGGCGGATGGCCCAGTAGCCCGTCGTTGCTCAGTGCGATGGGCGGCGGCGCATCGGCATCCTATGCAACGCGCATCGTCGCGCACCTGCGTCGTGCATGTACTACCTTGTGAGCTTCCATGTGGTCGAGCTCGGCCGTGACCCAAGCGAGAAAGATGTCGCTGGTCGTCTTCGGCGGCAGCACTTTGAAGCAGAGCCAGTAGAGCTGGACGCGTACGTTGGGGTACGGCAAGCTCTTTAACGCCAACGGCTCGACAAACTTGTGGAGAAACGTGACGGACGACGCGTCACGCGAGAGGCTGCACGCATGCGTGAGGAGGCACGTGTACAGCAGTAGCGTCGCGTGCCGGAGCTCCGACGTCGTTTTGCTCGACAAGATGGGCGCAAACTGCTTGAGTACGACCCATTGCGCTGCCAGCGTCTCTGCCGACGTCAAGAGACTCTCAACAAGAGCCTTGAACAGTTCGTAGGACGTTTGCTGAACCGGACACGACGCGTGGCTCTTGGTGCCCGATGCCTATGCTGCTATGAGCAGTCCTCCTCCTTTTGCATCGCGTGTACGAGGAAGAAGGCGCAGCCGTGGAAGAGCGGACTTGCGCACAGCGCTTCGAGAAGCGGGAGCTGGCCGTTGCGACACAAGCGGGGCACAATGGCGCGCCAGACGTCGGCAAAAAAGTGCTGCCGGTGCCTGCAGACAAGAAATCAGCCGCGAAGGCGATCGTAGAGGCACGTACGCAGAGGCGTCGATGCTGACGATCGACATCATCGTTGGCTGCAGCGCTTGGAGGCAGTCGTACGTGTTGGTCGATGGAAGGAGCGCAATTTGGAGACGCAGCATGTGTTCGCGGTCTTGCACGCTCGACGCCATGGCCGCCGATGACACGGCTTGCGTCATCGCCGCCAAGCGAGCGACGAGCAGCGACGACCACTTGAGCCGCGAGAACGTTTGCAACGGGTGGGCCATAATGATGTGCACAGCTTGGGCGATGGTGTAGGCTTGCAAGAGGGACGCTTTCCTAGCGTTGGCGTCCAACACGGTGCAAGCAAGATGCAAACGCGCACCCGTAGGCTGGTAAGAGCCACGCATCGACCATGTCGCCGACCATGACGTCGACGCGCACCTTGGCCGTCGACGCGTTCTCGTTATCGTGGCCGCATCCTGTCGGTAGGTATACGTTGTGGATCGATGCAGCGAGGGACGTACCCGTGTCCAGTTCGACAAGCGCAATCGCAAGGCCGGGCGTCGCGCCGCCACTGCGCTGCATCATCATGTAGGAGAGCATCGCGAGCCACTTCATTGCGTCCAATTGGCCTTCCAATGGCATCTTCTCGGCGTTGGCGCGAAGGAACTCGAAGCGCGGGGCAGCCATGCGGTACACGAGCGAGACGAGCTCATCGAGACCGCGCTCCTCTCGCACTGGCTACGACAGACATGACACGTGCGTCATTCGTAGTGACGGCGTACGTTCAAGTCGAGGTCCAAGTGAGTGACCTCTTGGATACCGAGGCTACGCTCAAAGAGGTGTGCGAGGCTCGTGAAGGCCGCTGCGGCGACGGACGGGGCGTCCGCCTCGGCCGCGTGTACGTTCATCTTCCACATGTCGTTGATAATGGATGTGACGTCTTGCTGGGCGACGATGCGCGCTTCGTTCGACTCGAACGGGAACCGGCTAAGGCCGCGCGCAAAGAGCACTTTGATGCAGAGGATCGTCATGCGGCTGAACGTGCCGAGGGCCACTTGCCGAACGAGAAGCGACTCGTGGCCAACGCACGCTTGGATCTTCTTGAGAGGCTCTGCTTCGCCTTGTTGAAGGAAGCTCAATATCGTGGTCGTCGGCAGCACGTCAAACACGGGAATCACGTGCACGAGCGTCGGGGCCGAGCCCTGCGTACTGGCGCCCGCGAGCTCCTTCACAGCGCTCTCCAAGACGAACTGCCATAGCTCTGTCGACATGCACGACGGCGCGAGGCAGCTCAGGCGGTACCCCAGGATCTTGAGCGCGTTGGACGCCTCGGGCGAGAAGCAGTCCTATCGCACCTGCTTCGATCCATCCTGCGCCATCGGCGTCTTTACCTGGAGGAGGCTGTAGACGTCCGTGCGGTTGAGCGCATGCTTCCGCGTCGTCGCTACCTGCACCATCTTGGTCGCGCGGGCCAGCGTCTTGGCGCCGTCGCCCTCGGACGGCTTGGGCTCCATCGTTCTGCGATCTTTGGCCACAACACTAATTGCGTGCGTGTGCTTCCGGATACAACAGTTCGAGATCTTGCGCGATGTTTGCCGCCGGCCGAGTGCACCTGCAGCAGGTAGACGGTCGATGCTACTGCCAGACGCCAACACGCTTGCGTAGCTCCAGTTCATGAGCCACGCCGTCTTTGCGCAGCCCGAGATGGCGTCGCTGCTGCGCAAGCTGCTTCGATGCATTCGCTACGTGCGCGCCTGCGTCGACAACGATCTGCGCCAGCCCAACGGCAGCTCCGCGCGCACCATGGCCGCCTGCGACGCCCTCGTTTGCGACGCTATTGACGAGTTCGAGGCGCAAACCCGGCACAAGTGCCCCAGCGCCGCCTTCTTTGAGAACGAGCGCGACAAGCAGATGGCGTGCGACCTTGCTGCCGTCGACGGTGTGTGCGTGGACACGGCCCACGAGCCATTGCTGCGCGGCTGCATTCGGGCGCTGCGAGCACTCGAGGAGACTCGCGAGTTCCACCGCAGCCTCCTCGCAGCACAAGAAGCCCTCGAGACGTACCCGATCGCTACGTATGCGTATGGGTCCACGCCGTTTGCGACATGGCGCGACCTCCTAACGCTGCCTGTCGTCGCTTCGACGCTCCGCCGCATCCGCGCCGCGCCGCATCCCGACGCCTGCACGGTCTTTGGCTCGTCGACTGGGAGTCTCGTGCTCTACACGGCCCTGCTCGCAGATATCCCTGTCCGCGGCGTCGAGATTCTCACGTACCTTGTCGAGCAAGCGCGGGAACTCGCATCAAGCGTACCCCAAGTGGCGTACGAAGCCTGCGATATGCTCACCGTGTCGCTTGGCCACACGCGCTTCTTGGTGCTGGCGTCGCAGTGTTGGGATGCGGCACTCTGGGCCAAGCTCGCGCGCAAGCTCCTCGAGCTCACCTCGTGCATCGTCCTCGACTACACCGACCGCCTCTCGCGCTGCAACGGCTTTCACCTCGCGGCCACCACACAGGGCAACGTCTCGTGGCATGCGGGGCACACGTTCTACGTCTACGAGCGTCTTGTGCAGTAGGTAGGTATCATACAGATGGATTTATAGTAGTTATTGTGAATAAAATAAGGGGTACGGTCTACACGTGACGCTTGAGAAGGTGGTCGTCGCGCTCGAGGAGACGCTTCCGGACGAGCTCGGCCCGCGCGTCCTTTTCAGCTTGCATCTTGGCTTCCAGGAGAAGTCGGCGCTCTTCGCGCTGTCTCAACGCCTCTTTGCGCGCCTGGGCTTCGCGTTGCTCCTTCTCTTCGCGGCGCTTGGCCACGAGCTCGTGGCGCTGGTCCGTGCTGCGCGGCGTGACAGGCGTCGTGAGCGGCTTGCGGGGGGTTGGGGCAGCCGAGATCTTCTTGGGCGTCGCCGACGGACCACGCGTCGTCGTCACACTCGCGCACTGCGACGCCGTGCTGCTGCGGCTCGTGAGGCGGGGCGCCGAGACCGTGCGTTTGAGCGGCGTCACCGAGGCTTTCGATGACGTCGAGCAACTGCTGGCGTTGGATCCGTTCGAGCTCCGGGGCGCCGATGGAATGGCTGCTGAGTTGCGGCGTGTGGTCATGGCCTTGCGGTCTACGCTGGCCACACCGCAAGTGGACAGCGGAGGCGGCGGGATACCATTGCGGCGGGTCATCTGGAGCGGCGACGTCGTCGTCGCCTTCTCCTTGGGCACTGCAATTTCGAGGCGCGGGCGAGCAATCGCACTCGGGCGCACGGGAGTCGGTTTGACGTCGTTGGCCAACGACAGCGGCGTCGGACTCAGCTTTGCAATCATTGATGGCTTGGGGCTGCTGCGGATGCACGGGTTGGGGCTGCTGGTCGACGATGGCTTTGGACTGTTACGGACGCAAGGCTTGGGGCAGCTGGGAACCGGGCT